TAGGCCAGCAAGAGCTGGCGGATATCTGGTGGGGGCCGCAGCTCGTCCAGTCGTGGAAGATCTGGCACGAGCTCGGACACCAGCGCCAGCACACACCCACCTGGAGCTGGGAGGCCGTGGTAGAAGTCACCGTGAACATCTACTCCCTCGCCGCCCGCCGGCTCTTCCCCGCCTCCCCCAGCAGTGCCATCTGGCACGCCACCGCCGAGGAGTGGGAAGACGCCAGGAAGTATCTCGCGCTCCCCGCGGACGCCAGGGACTATGACACGGCCGAGCCCTTCAACCAGCTCGTCATGTTTGAGCAGCTGCGCGTCGCGTTTGGCGGCGACGAGCTGTACCACGAGCTGCATAGGAGATCGCGAGCCCTTGCAGATTTGGCGAATATTACTACCGACGCGGACAAGAAGCACTTCTTCATGACGCAGGTCAGCGAGATTTTTGGGAGCAACCTCGGCGCCTATTTCACGGCTTGGGGACTGAAGCCTGAGCAGCGCACGCTCGACGAGATGGGCAAGCAGCCTGATCCGGTCAAGGACTATACCGAGACGCCTGTATATGACTAGAATAGATGATGTGAATATGAGCAGCATTAGGTTGCTTGGTATTAAGAGCTTGGCTTTTAACACTAAATATTTATCACAGCACCATCACAGCCTCGCGTTAAATTGCATCGTGCGAGTACTGAATAACACTGTGCCCAGGCACCAAACGTGGGGCTTACAACAACAAAGATTGGATGCCCTCAAAAATGATGGACAAGGTCGTCTTGATTGAACAAAAGAATGTTGGTGTAATTACTGATTGTCATCATGACTGTTGTGAATGGACAAAAGTGGAAGAAGACGTTATTCTAGGGCAGCACTGCTCTTAAATCAAATCACATAAACAAATTATCAAATGAATCAAAGAAATCAGGGCGAAAAACTTATCAAACAAACAAATACATAGTTTTAAATTAAATTTATATTTAATATATTTGATTCAATCTCGTTTTTATCCGACTTTTTCTATATAGGTATAAAGAAACACGCCTTCCTCTTACATCTATACTAGTACCTACTTTTATAGATAAAATTTTTGACTACTTGGACGTATACCTAGTAGAAAGTAGTACCTATATAAAGACTATTAGAATTTTTATTAGCTAATTATCTAATGATATATATAAATATTAAAGTGTTACTAGTAGAGGAAGTAATACTTAAATATATAATATTTTAGTATAATATAGTATTATATAATATAAATTATAAATTTAGAAATCTAAAAGTAAAGAGTAATATTGTAAAAGTGGGTATTAATGGTGTACCGTACGGGCCCTCAAACTTCCCGCAACCCCGTACAGAGCCTCGAATCTGGCAGTTTGTAACTCAGCCTGACAACAATAGCCACCAATACTCGTTATCAATACTCCGTATACGGGCGCAGCTGAGCAGACTGGAATACAATGCACCAAGCCCACACATGGAATCGAGATAGAGAGTTCAACGGCTAAATATGGGCCCGGTCGGTTGTCCGTCCCGTCCGCCGCAACCATGACGATTTAGCGGCCTTGGCTTGTGACTTGATTCCTCCATCTGCACGACTGCTTGCCGACATGGGACGTTTGGGGGTCATTTATTGCCCAAAGATCTATCACTTTCGTGCTCATGTGATTGCACGGTTCCTAGATGTCGACGCCCCAAAAGCCACCGGCAGTCACCTAATTTTTTTTGAACCCGGTCTCTGGGCTAAAATCGAGGCGACTTCTTCTATTGTCTCCCCCTCCCTGTGCGCCTCCAACAGGGCTTTTTTGGGACCGAACATCAGATGCATAGACCCATAGAAAATAATCAGCCCATCTTGTTCTGCGGGTTCTCGGAGTCTGACTTGATACCGAGACATGGACCCCAGCGCAGCCGCAGCCGCAGCCCGAACCTGGCACCGTCATCCGTTTGAGGTACGAACCTCGATACCCTGAGAATTGGTATCAAGGCAACACCATCTTAATGCTCTGTTTACCTGTGACAGACTATCTTAATCACTGCCTACATCCCCGTCTACATTCACTTCATCTAGCTTTGCCACCAGCCTCTTCCCAACTGCACCAAAAAGCGTCTCGTCTTTCGACTATTCACAATGGAGCAGGGCATGGCTGAAAAGCCAGACAGCAAAGCGTCACCCCAAGCCAATCAAGAGTCGACCTCAAATGTTGATACCAATGCCGCTCCTCAGCGAGAACCGACTTTTCAAGACTACCTCGTACGGCTTCTGCAACATGGACCTGCTCTACAGAGTTATCGCTAACCAATTGCTCCGTTCCGTCGACGTCGCAGCGACTGTTCAAATATGCCAACAATTGGGACTTTCTAGCCTACGCTGCTGGCACGGCGGCCGCCATTAGCTCTGGCGTGACTGTACCCTTGCTCAATGTCGTGTTTGGTGAGAAGAAGATGAAGCCAAGTTTAGCTAACCTTTGCTAATAAAGTTCCATTACTTGTAGGCAAATTTGCTACCCAGTTCTCCGCCTATGCCGGCACCCAAACACTCGAAAAGGGCCAGTTTCAAGGAGAGCTGAACAAACTTTCGTATGTTCCTGGTCGTGTTCCCCAGACACAATGAACATCCTATCCCGCGCGGTTGCTGACATGTTGCCGCTGCAGCCTTTACATGCTCGGGCTCTTTCTTGGTCGCTTTGTGCTCAGCTACATCAACAAGGTGCCAATTTTCTACCCTTGCCTCACATACTCTGCCCAGATAGCTGACTCATTTGTAGCTCGCGTTTCGCATGATTGGCATTCGAATCTCCTCCGCCCTTCGCCAGGATTTCCTCACAGCTTTATTCTCACAGAGCGTCCACGTGTTGGACTCGATGCCTCCTGGATACGCAACTACCGTCATCACTACCGCCAGCAACACCGTGCAGCTTGGCATCTCTGAGAAGCTGGGTGTTTTCTTCGAATTCAACGCTACAATGATTGCTTCCATCATCATTGCCTTTATCTATAGTTGGCAGCTTTCTCTGGTTACATTCACAGCCGTTGTATTCATTCTTGTCAGCGTCGGCATACTTCTTCCGCCCATTACCAAAGGCCAGACACGTCAAAGTCAGGTATGATGTTTCTTCCTCGTATCCTGAATCGGTCCATTACTGATTGAGCCAACTTAGTCTGATACCAAGTCAGCTTCTATTGCAAGCGAGGCTCTTGGTAGCCTAAAAATGGTCGTAGCCTGCGGCGCCGAAGGTCGGATTGCCAGCAAATACGGCAAATTCGTCGACGAGGCCAGAAAACATGCACAAAATATCAATCCCTTGATTTCAATCCAATTTGGCCTGATTGTATGCCGGAATGCCTGTTTCCTTTACAACTACCGCCCATTGCCTGCTAACGCATGATTTACTTTAGTTCTTCAGCAGTTATGCCGCTTTTGGACTGGCCTTTTGGTACGGCACTAAACTATTGGTCGAGCACAAGATTGACGAGCTTGGAGCCATTATCATGTAAGTCGCTTGTTCGTCGCAGCTTGTTTCGTCGTAGCCTAGAACAAAAAGTACTAATGCATCTCAACTGCTACTAGTGTGTTATTCTCTGTCATGATGATTGTGGCTTCAATGGAGCGAACTTCAACGCCACTTCTGGCAGTAAGCAAGGCCATGGTTGCCGCTTGCGAGTTCTTCACTGTCATTGACGCCCCAAGACCCGAACCTGGCCATCTCACATATCCAAAAATATCTCCAAATGAGGACCTTGTAATGGAGAATGTGACTTTTGCTTATCCAAGTCGCCCACACGTCAAAGTTCTCGACAACCTTAATTTGACGATTGAAAAGGGCAAAGTGACGGCGATTGTTGGGGCCTCTGGCTCTGGAAAAAGCACAATTGTCGGTCTTGTCCAACGGTGGTACAATCTCAAGAACCAACAAGTCTTCCCCAAAATCATCGACAAGACGAAGAAGCAAAGCAACGGCGACAAGAACAGTGAAGATGGTCAAGAGTCACAACCAATCCCTGGCGCAGATGAAGACGCTGGCCCACCAATTGAACTTCACGGGACTGTTTCTACGTGCGGTCATTCCCTGGACGATATCAATATCAAATGGTGGCGGGCGCAAATTGGCCTTGTTCAGCAGGAGCCCTTTCTCTTCAACGACACCATCTTTACAAATGTTGCCAATGGTCTTGTCGGAACCAAATGGGAGAACGAACCAGAAGAAACGAAAAGGGAAATGGTCAAGAAAGCCTGTCAAGAAGCCTTTGCCGATGAGTTCATTGAGAAACTCACAGTAGTAAGTGTTGCATATAGTAGCCTTCTGTATAGAAGCTGCAGAAGCAGTCACCCGAGCAACAAGGTCAAGTACTAACTCGTTGTTTTTTCAGGGCTATGACACGCCTGTTGGTGAAGGTGGCGCAAAACTCTCTGGCGGTCAGCGTCAGCGCATTGCCATTGCCCGCGCCATTGTCCGTCGACCTTCGATTCTTATCCTCGACGAGGCCACCAGTGCAATTGATGTCCGAGGCGAGAAGATTGTCCAGGCAGCCCTAGACAAGGCTTCAAAGAACAGAACCACCATTGCAATAGCCCATCGTCTCTCCACCATCAAAAAGGCAGACAGGATTGTGGTGCTGAGGCAAGGGCAAGTTGTCGAATCGGGTACACATGAAGGCCTCCTAGAGGACAAAAACGGTCTTTACTACAGCCTTGTTCACGCTCAAGCACTCTCCATGGAAGAATCTGCGGAGCCCGACGATTTCCAAGCCAAGGAAGAGCCAGCATATCTTGCACGTGAAAAGAGCCGTGCTGGATCGGAGAGGGCAGGGAAACCAATAAAGAAGAAGTGGAAGACCAAGAGCATCTTCTCCAGCTTTGGTCGGTTCTTTTACGAGACTCGGTCAAACTGGTGGATGATGGCTCTCGCTATTTTCTTTTCTGCTTGTGCCGGCGCCGCTATTCCGTTTCAATCTTGGCTCTTTGCCAAGGTCATCCTTGTTTTCAGTTACTTTCCAGATACTGCCAAAGTCCGACACGAGAGCGGATTTTGGTCGCTGATGTGGACTGTCTTGGCCATTGCTGCTGGCATCAGCTACTTTGCCACGTTTTTGTTTGCCAATCGTACTGCTAGCACCATTCGTGCCAAATACCAAAAGCAGTACTTTGCGTCAATCTTATATCAGCATTTCTCTTTCTTCGACGACGATGATCACTCTCAAGGTACCATGACAGCTCGAAGCTCGAGTGATCCCCGTCAGCTAGAAGAACTGCTAGGCATCAACATGGCGAGTGTCTTTATTGCAATCTGGACCCTCACTGGGACCATTGCCATTGCATTCGCGTTTGCTTGGAAGCTGGCGCTCGTGTCCTTTTGTGTCGCCGTCCCGATTCTGCTTGGTACTGGCTACTGGCGTTTTCGCTACGAACTTCAGTTTGACGAAATGAACAATGCCGTCTTTGCAGATAGCTCTCAATTTGCGTCGGAGGCTATAGGAGCGTTCCGGACGGTGGCGTCTCTCACGCTTGAGGATGCGATTTGCGATCGGTTCCGCAAGCTTGCTCAAGGTCATGTCGCGGATGCGTACAAGAAAGCTCGCTTGGTGACGTTGTTGTTTGCGTTTTCTGACAGCGCGACGATTGGGTGTCAGGCATTGGTGCTGTATTATGGTGGTCGCCTTCTTCTCAACGGCGAATTCAGCCTGCAGAGCTTCTTTGTGTGCTTTATTTCCGTTTTGAATGCGGGTGAGACGACGGGACGGGCGCTTAGCTTTGGTCCCAATGTCGCCCAAGTCAGTGGAGCGGCCAATCGTATTCTGAGTCTGAGGGAGAGTCAAGTAAAGGATGACCCTGCAGCTGCCGGCAAGCTTTTCGAGTCTGGTGGCGACGGCATGAAGATTGAATTGGAGAATATCACCTTTAAATATCCTACGCGCGACGTACCAGTCTTCAAGGGACTCAGTCTCACAGTCGAAAAGGGACAGTTTGCAGCCCTCGTGGGTGCATCGGGATGTGGCAAGTCGAGTATTATTTCTCTGCTTGAACGGCAAGTCAAGCCAACTGGGTTTCTACGGGATACACTGACTCCTAATGCTGATGCTTTCTCTTGCAGCTTCTACGAGCTCGATAACGGTCGTATCCTCTGCAACGGCCAGGACATTGCCACGAAAAACGTCTATGCATACCGCAGCCATCTCTCGCTGGTGGCACAGGAGTCGAGTTTGATCCAAGGTACGAGCAATTTCTCAAGTTTTCTTTAACACACAATTGCCTTGCATTGTACTTGTACAAGAACTGACCATTCGTCAAGGCACAATCCGTGAAAACATTCTCCTCGGGGTCGACGAACCCGCCGTCACGGATGAAGAAATCTACCAGGCATGCCAGCAAGCATCCATCCACGACTTCATCGTGTCGCTGCCAGAGGGATACAACACCGATATTGGCTCCCGCGGGGTGTCGCTCTCTGGCGGGCAGAGGCAGCGCGTGTCCATTGCGCGCGCCCTCATCCGCAACCCGGACATTTTGCTGCTCGACGAGGCCACCAGCGCGCTCGACTCGGAGAGCGAGAAGCAGGTGCAGGTAGCGTTTGAGCGCGCAGGCAAGGGGCGCACGATGCTTGCCGTCGCACACCGGCTCGCCACGGTGCAGAATGCAGATGTCATATTTGTCCTCGGCGAGGGCGAGCTGCTTGAACAGGGCACTCATCAGGAGCTGCTTGCCAAGCGAGGGATGTACTGGCAAATGGTAGGTCCTCTCATGGCTTCTCTATTCTTCATTAGTATGCGCGTCTGTTTGGGGAAATGCTAACTTGGGACCATCAGTGCCAGAGCCAAGCGCTCGATCGCTAGCGAGCCTTTGACCAGGCTACCTTGCCAATGCTGCTATATATTGTCGACTTTCACTTCTTCCGAATACGTATTAATCTCACCAAGTAGCAGCTCGCTTTCTTCCGTACTACTGGCTACTCCTTGTTCTTCCTGTACTGGTGCTAGTAACGCGGGCCGGCAACCGAGATGCTGCCGACAGTTGTCGCAATCTAGAAAGCTTCTTGTATTTTATTTTGTGTTCATTTGACATCAATAATCTCTTTACATAAACTTACTCCTGCGGTTCATGCAAGTTGCGGTATCCTGGTATGCATTCTGCTGTCTCATCGAGTAACCACATCTCGTGTAAGTCGACAAGCCCTCGCTCGCTCGGTATCCACGATGAGTGCTGTGTAGGGCGCACATCCCCAACGGCATGCACTGTGAACTAGGCCATCATCTCCATTGTGTCAGCGGTATGTGTCTTTTCTTGTCGTCCAAACAGAATGAGGAAGAGGACTTGCACTTGTCATCAAGACCAATGACCAGCTAGTTGGTGTGCTCTGGGGGTAGCGCTGCCAAAGCACATGTTCCCAATTTCGAATTAATCAATCAACGGCTAGCTGCGCAGGCAGTCAGCAGGCAGTCAAACAAATGGTTAATCAGACAGTCAATCAGACAGTCAACCGCCAGCGAGGTCCTTCTTCTATGTTGCCGCGCCAACGACAAGGCCCCTGGGAACTTATTACACCACACAGTCCCTCTCATGCCCAGCAATTGCTCCTTCTGCAACGCTTGTTCTCAATAATCTTGCACAATAACCTCGCGCAAGGAGCTTATAACTTCTTGTCAATCAAATTCATTCCCGGGGATGCTACAAACAAAGGACGATATAACGAGCTTATAAGCATCACTTTTACCTGCAATTTAGACAGGCGAATCTTATCAGTGGCCTGGGTGCCCGCGCCGCCTCAATTGTATGGAGGCATTACCGATTCTTGACTGCGGTAGGACTTGGCCTACGGTAGCCAAAATCCGACATACATCTTACCGTGCTTCAAAGGGATATACTGCCATACCTTTTGCGCAACGGTGCGCATCCCAACCAATCAAGCTGTGGGTGAAGGTCCATCAGCTCTGTACGAGTTCTTGCTTTCTATTGCTCTCGCAAAGAACACCTGCAAAATCACACCATCATGCGGTTGCAGCACGTGTGCCTCTCGCAGCCGCTGCCGTCCAATTTTCGCTCTCATGTCTCAATCTGGCATCCTGGGTACATTCGTGGCGAGGACACCATGTTCTCTCTTCCATGTCTGGATGAAGTTGGTCCCGAGGACGTGGCAGATGACGAAGTCGTCGATGGAAATAGAAAAGTCCGCTTAGCACAAGCTGGTTATGGCGTTCACTTTGGGACCATGTTATTGGTCTGTCAAGTTATCACAGGAAATTCGTTTGACACGGCTTACTTGAGCTACGACCGCAAAGGCAACAACAAGGTGCAAATGAATGCTCGAGGGATTCTGACGCATGACCAATACTTCCTCCACGTCCCTCAAAGTAAGCGAAATTTTGTCTCGAGTCTTATACCAGTCCCCTCTGCATCTGGCAGTTCATCTGCTTACCATCATCACGCGCAGGCGACAGAGATACAACATCATACGCGGTCACACCCAACTTTGAAAATTGGCGATTTCCTGAAGCTCTTCCTAGTTCATGGCATTCTATTGCGATTACTCCACGCGATAGTAAACCGAGCTGCATAATCTCGGGTCGTATGGCGACAGAGAAGGCTCACGTCATACCTCAATCCCAGGACAAGTGGTACACAAACAATGCCATGAGCGACTATTCACAAGGTGCCGAGTCGGTTCACAATAGTGTCGACAACATGATTCGGCTCCGCGCCGATCTTTCCAGGATCTTGCATGATTGCGCCTTTGCTTTGGTTCCGAAATCAGACACTAACGGGCGAGAACATACTGTCGTACACTTCTTCTCCACCACTAATGGCGCTGGCGACGCCGCTTTCTGGCATCATAACCAAAAGGTACACAGCCTTGCATCTGTGGCACCGCAGTTCCTGTTTGCCCGATTTGCTCTGACGGTGTTTGCTCGTATTAAAGACTTTATGCTTAGAGGAGAATGCCGCCAGATTGCGGTGGTGCTTCGTGGGATCGACTCGAGCGGTTCTCCTGCGTGGGTTACCCGGGAAGTTGAAATGGATCGTGCACAGCGACTGAGCCGGTACGGTCCTTTGACTTTGCATAAGAGAGCCAGGCCTCAATGTTGCGAATCCCAGCAAGACGACGACCAAAAAAGTCCTGAGGGGGTTCGAATGTTTGGGTATGGGTTGGGGGAGCCGGAAGATTATACGTCGCGAACCAGGGCATGGCTTGGGGCTGATGAGACAAGGTCAATTTCTGAAATTTCCTCAGACGGTTCTCTCGACTTGCGCTACTGCTGACCAAGAGGCAGGCAAAGAGCCGCAAGGCAGAGGTCAGCTAGGCAGCTTCGGGCGATGCAGGTGATGCAGGCGATGCAGCAGATAATGCCATCGCATCAGACACAGGCTCTATCATTTAGAGCAGCGCCTCTGGCAGGCGCCGCTGCCGCCTTGGCAGCCCCCTTTACAGCTTTAGCTAGCTAAAAGAAAATTCATTTACAGTTGAAAATACTGCTGATAGTTGGACGCAGAATTTGGTGGACTCACTATTACATGAATCCTTCCTAATAAAGTATAGCGGGCTGTTGTAACTTTCAGATTTTGACGTTGATTTTGCAGCCCTTGTTACGCTGGTGACTGGCGACCGCCACCCACATAAGGGTGTGTGTGTGTGTGTGGCGCATGCAGCTGGCTCTGCGTGACAGTTAGTTAGTGGGCGCCGACTTCGCAGCGGCGGGGCGAGGACGGCGGTTTTCATTTCTAATCCCCCGGCCGTCATTGCGCGGGGCATCCATGCTAAAAAGCCCAGAAAAACCGCCACTATTTACCTTGCAAACTACCTTGACAAGTACAGACGCCATTCTTTTTTTTTCCTTTCCTTGCACATGTCCATTTTATCAACACGATTCTCTCTTTTACGACTGTTTCGACGAACGACGAGACGATACTGACTCAATCATCACAACGAGAACAAATTTTTCCCCGCTGTTGCATCTTTGCGGCGCGCCTAAAGATCTGACCGATTACACAAGGACCCTTCGGGGTGCAACGAGCCGGATCGCGGCAAACAGACGACCGACAACAACAACAACAGCACGACACCACAAAATAAAAAGCGAATAACTCTCTCCATTCTCTGATAATATCCTCCCCTCTGAAGCCGCCTCTGCGAGCAACCCACATTATACAATGAGCGCCATCCTCTCCACCGATGACCTCAACGACTTCATCGCCCCGGGCGTCGCCTGCATCAAGCCCATCGAGACGCTCCCCTCTGCCCCTGCCCCTCCTCCGCCATCATCCTCCTCCGAAGCCCAGGTCATTCTCGACGGCGACTCCCGTTCCGCCTCCGCACTACAACCACCGCCGCCCCCCGCCGAAATCTCCCTCACCGACTGCCTCGCCTGCTCCGGCTGCGTCACCTCGGCTGAGGCCGTCCTCGTGAGCCTGCAATCCCACGCCGAGGTCCTCTCCACGCTCGACTCGGCCCCCTCACTCCGCGTCGTCGTCGATCCGTCTACCGGCGCCCGCGGCGGCCAGCGCTACACCGTCTCCGGGCTTGACAATCCCGATGCCAAACTGCTCGTCGCGAGCGTCAGCCCGCAGACGAGGGCGAGCCTGGCGGCGGCGTGTGGGCCGGGCATAGGAGAAGCGCGGGCGGGTGCCATGCTCGAGACGCTGCTCATGGGAGAGGCAGGGCTCGCCGGGGGCGGGAGCCACGGGAGCCGCTTTGCATGGGTGGTGGACACGAACACGGCGCGGGAGATGACGCACGTTTTGAGCGCCGACGAAGTGTTTGGCTCTGGTTCTGATTCTAATTCTAATTCTCATCTTTCTTCTACTTCCTCCTCTGCCTCTTCATCGCCGACAGCAGCGCCCGCCAAGAAACCAATTCTCGCCTCGTCGTGTCCCGGATGGGTGTGCTACGCGGAAAAGACGCACCCGCACGTGCTGCCGCACCTGTCGCGCGTCAAGTCGCCGCAGGCGCTTATGGGCACGCTCCTCAAGACCAGTCTGAGCAAAGCGCTTGGCATCCCGCCCTCCCGCATCTGGCACCTCGCCGTCATGCCGTGCTTTGACAAGAAGCTCGAGGCTAGCCGCGAGGAGCTGACCGACGAGGTCTGGGCGCGGTCCGGCCGGCCGGGCCGCGGCGTGCGCGACGTCGACTGCGTCATCACAAGCAAGGAAGTCCTCATGTTGGCCGAGAGCAGAGGTCTGGATTTCTTCAAGCTATCACAAGAGCCGCCGCGCCCCGCCATGGCGCCGTTTCCCGACCCTACGCTACACAAATTCCTGTTCCGCCAAGATGCCCAGCTACCATCTCCGTCGTCCTCCGTCTCGGTGCCAAATACACCCCTCGCTGCTGGGTCGTCTGGTGGCCTCCTCTACCACATCTTACAGAGCAGAGCGGCGCAGACGCCCGGTTCCGAGATTCAAATCATCAAAGGCCGCAACGCCGACGTTGTCGAGTATGTCGTGTCGGTCCAGGGTGAGGCCGTCTTCAAAGCCGCGCGATACTACGGCTTCCGCAACATCCAGAACCTGGTGCGACGGCTCAAGCCAGCGCGGCCGTCGAGAATGCCGGGTGGTAAGCCGTTTGGCAGCGCCCGCCGGCCGACTGGCGGCAAGTCGGCCACGCTCGAGTACAGCTATGTAGAAGTCATGGCGTGCCCGGGCGGCTGCACCAACGGCGGCGGCCAGATCAAGGTCGACGACGCCGTCGTCATGGAGCGCAAGAACCTGTCTGGCAAACCCGGCCCGCAGGAGCAAAGGGAGTGGCTGGCAGAGGTGGACGAAGCATATTTCTCGGGTGACGAAGCCCCGGTCCAAGACGGGTCGGCAGTCGGCCATGTCGTGGTCGGCACCTCTCACTCCTATATAAATGATACCCTGGCATATTGGTCGAACATGACCGGCATTGAATTACGTAGACTTGCATTCACCACATACCGCGAGGTCATTAGCGATGTTGGAAAGGTCACCGAGGGAGAACGCGTGGTGCAGCTCGCGGGCAAAATTGGCGGCGGATGGTAGTAGGGTGCAGAACCATATACAGCATGGATAGATAGCATAGATGTAGCTTGTCACAGCAATCAAGCTTCTCTCGCGCCGCGACGCGCAAATCCGAACCCGCCCCTTCCAGTGCCATCCGGTCCGCGTGGTGCCCGAATCGGCGCGCCTTCGTCTCTGTTTTGCAGTTTCGCATTGCCCGCCGCATCGTCTCGCTTCTGGGCGCCAGAGTCGGGCTTTGGTGAGTAGCTGGGGTCGTACAATTTTGCGGTGCTGGCTTGCAGTGGCGCACGGCGTGATTCCAACTGGCTGCGGGCATTATCCGCGCCTCGTGCGCCCCGCCCTCGCCCTCTGCCCGGCTGCGACCTCGAGTCCGGCCTCGGCGGCGTCGTGGTGCCATTGCCCGGCGACGACCCGCGGGACGAGGGTGCCGACTCTCCAAAAATCTTGGCGCGGGCCTCGTCGTATTTGCGCTGCTTCTCCTCGCGCTCGCGCTTCTGCCTGGCGCGTACTTCCTCGGGACTGAGCTGGATTTCCTTCTTGGTTTCGTCGTCATCCAGGCTGAGCTGCGCGAGAGCGCCGGAAGGCCCGCCGCGTTTGGCAATGACGGGCTTTCTGCTGAGCACCTTGACTTGCGGCTTGAATGTCGCAGCCACTGGTACAGTACTGGCGGCCTCGACGTAATGAAACGTCTGGTTTGATTCTCTATGGTTCTGGTCAGCGCAGGCTCCGGGGGGGATTGTCCTGCTTGCTTTTTGCCTGGGCAACTTACGCCGACTCCCAGAGTTTTCGGTTCGATTCTGCATGAATTGCCAATTGCTCAGCCTTTGTCAAGACTGGCGCGGGCGTAGGGTTCTGGGCCTCTTCCTTGGCCGCCTGATCTGCCTGGACTTCCCAGTCGTCGTCCCAGGCGTCGGGAACGGGCTTTTTCCCCATTGCGATGGTAGATTCCCCGACCAGGTTTCGAGAAGCAAGTCTTTCTATCAGAATATGCGTGGCTGACTCCTCTTCGGCGCCAGCGGTAAGACAGAAAAAGCTGACGACAACAGTCTCTTGCACGCTTTGGGCAGGAGACACGACCAAGGTCAACGCATGGATATCGCGGTCAAATGTAGGCTGCGGTTCGCCAATTTGAAGTTTTTAGGCATGTAAGACGGTGGTTGAGGGGATGTGGTCTGCGTGATGCGAATTTCGACGCCGGGCAGTGCGTGGTTAATGGCGGGTTTTGTGTGCGGCAACTTTGTTTTTGACGTCTCGAAAACGGCATGGGGGACCAGTGGGGCGCAGTCGAGCAACCGCGGGCAGCCAGAGGGGCGCGGCCACTCAGCCTGTGGGCAAATCGCCGCGCTTGCTCGCCAATATGCCAATCACACGACAAACAAAAAGCGCCTTTTGATATACTTCATCTTCCTTCTTGCATCTCGCAGACTGCTCTCCATCTCACAGACTTCTACTTACCGTAGAAAATGACCGACTCATCGCCCATGGCGCCAGCCAAGCCCAACACCAAAAGGCCAAAGAACGACAGTAACTGGCACAGAAGCAGGCTGGCGGATGCCACATTCAACGCGAGTAAGTGAGAGGTTATTTGCAGTCTATGATATGTCTGACCGGAGGCTGATGACTCGACGCCAGAACGCTATCCCGATCCTTTGAAAGCTCGTCCGTCACCGGACCCCAGATTTGGGGTGCCTGAGGGAGTGACAGCGGAGATGACGCAGAAGTGGTTGAATATGATCAGAGAGTCCAAGACACAGACGCCTTCATCATAACGATTGGACGTGTAATATCTAAATCGGCTTCGGTTGTTATTATGCTCAATTTTTCGGGAAGCCAATGATCGCTCTTTGGCCCTCGTGCCGAAAGCTACGTTTCTGCGCAACAAGCTGTCGTTAAAATCCCACTTTGCAAACAGCTCGAGTCGCACAATAGCATATAATTACAGGGCCTTTTCTTTGCTCGTTGATGCGAGTATGACACCAGCTATGAGAAGCGATGAGTATATTGCAGCTCGCGCGAACAACAGACTAATGCTCTGCCGATGGTACTAGAGGGCATTTCAAAAACGATAGCATAATTTTGTTCAGTACTATGGCTACTACCAGGCTTCCGAGCTCAGCCATGCATGTATACATACTTTGATATTGTTTTAGTCTGACTGCTGCGATCTAGCCGTCTATGTCTACTATAGGTGACGAGCCACGCCATTCGCATATGGACCTCAACGGTGTCTCCGAGAGCAAGCATACAAATATCTCGCGTAGGCGGTGGGATACATGCTGTGCGCTGAGTAATAAACATGATGCCGCTCACCACAGCTGTCTGCAGTGTAACAGCGGACGCGACCGAGGAGGCTGCTATTTCTGTGGTGCGCTTCTGCAGGGAAGCGTGCTGGGAGTATTAAGGGTCTACGCCGACTTTGACGCATGCGAGGCCAAACGCATAAAGTGCTTATCTTTGGGGTAAGCATGTAAACTAGTAAATAATGGGACTGCGCCGCTCGTGATCATTGTCGATATCGAACTGGCCGTGGCCAAATCATAGCCTGCAGTAGTAATGCCTGGGTGGTGCGGCTGTGATTTTGGGTGGCGTGCGTAGATTACGAGCATTACGCCCTGCTGAGAACTGATCGACAGCGGGCTTGAGAATAATCTTTGGAACGCTATAGTTTGCATTGAGCTGCCATCATCGTCCAGCTGACGATGGTACCAGTAGGCTGGCCAATCTGGCATCGAGAAGATGACAGGAGGGGGTGGTTGGGTGGTTGGTGGTTTTAATGGGACCCTGTCAGCGACCCGAAGCGGCCCGAGACAGACACCAGATTTCTGATATATGAGCCAGGGAGCAGCAAGACGTATGGGCCGGTATGGCGCGGTTCGCAGTCGAAGAGGTTAGAACGCATTCGTATCGCACGAGCGTGCATCGGTACACCGCCTCTCTCAGGGTTCGAGTGGCGAAAGGTGACTGATGTATCCGTATGCGTGTGGCTTTCTCTTGGAAGAAAAGTACGAGGGAAAAACGAGCAATCAAAAGGGCAGCAGCGCATCGAGGCAACAGCCACCGCAGTACTGAAGGGGCTGGACTGCAGTCTGCAGGGCAGAGGGTGGCTTTGGTGTTGACCAGGATTGGGGATTCGGCGCGCCGAGCCTCTCTGAAGAACCCAGCTAAATGGCTTGGCGTGTCAAGTTAATTTAGGCCATGTGCATTACAACTGTAGCCGGAGGCTGTCTGAAACGTGGGGAAGGGGAAGAAGCATTTAATGGCAAGGGCAATCAATGGCAATGGGAGTACCATTAACAATGGGGAAGAGGCGGGCATGGTGCATGGTCGAGGTTACACCTGGAGCTTGCCGGGGTGGAAGAGGGATTAGAATTGCTTGCTCGTTAACAGAGCTTATGACATTTGGATTTTGGGGCATTAAATTATTCGGCGATGCTCGAGATTGGCGTAACGGTCGTCTGGCAAAATTTTGAATCCAAGGGGTAAGTGAGCATGGGCGATGTTTTATAAATCAATATTGGTTGTTGCTACCCGAGCAGAGTAGTAATAACGAGAGGATGCTTCATAGGTGCGGGGTTTGAAAAATTAAGTGGGAATTTGGAGTCGTTGCAGACATTTGAGACCGGTCTAGGTTTGGCGGCGAGGCATTATTGTTGGAGCAACTTGCCAATGGCCATACGTAATAGTTGGTCTGGGGCTCGACGATTGGTTCGAGTCTGACTTGCGAGGTAGCTTGAACCAGTTTGAACCAAGTATCCGTAGTTGGAGTCGAAGAGAATTAATAAGAGAGGTGAGAGAGAGAATGGAAGGGTAACAGGCCCGAGACTTCCGGTTCCGCCGGGCAGCTCATGTCTGTGCTTTTTTTTAATGGTACTCTCTTCGACGTGTGTTTGTTCTTGATTCTCGTGCCTCATGCTGTACCGGCGAGTAACGTAACCATCATCTCGTCGTGAGTGGGCTAAAATAAATGCAGTGGCAAGAGACGAATGCAGAGCCTCACAAACTTTAGAGCGACGTCTTTTTCTTTTTTTGGGTCGATTCCAAATCAATGACTCAGAACAGAGACATTTCATCTTGATTGTCTGCCGTAGAATTTGATCTGCAAGATTCGTCATCTGGTAGCTTGGCATTCTTTGCTTCTTAGAGCAGTTGACGTAGTGCAGAGAACGTCAGTGTATGGAGTATTACAGGCGGCCAAGCTTTGAATTAAAGTGAGGGGCACGAGATGGATAGCATGTGTGCCGCAGGAGGTTCCCGTCATCAGACAGACCCCGCTAATGATGACGAGGAAAGAAGAAAAAGAAAAAAGAAATAAATGAAAAATAAACAAACAGCATTCCTGGCAGGCCAAAAAGTGAAAAAAGAATGATCTCATACGACAAGTCGAATAGCTCTATAAAGAGGATGTATTTAGCTGGTTGCCCTCCTGCGGGGAAGAGTGACGGTCGTCCCGCATTTATGGACGGGTACTGAACTGACTGTATGGACGAATTGAGGACGAGGCAACGAGTTTCACTGCACGAGTTCAGCGCAGCAGGGTCAGCAGGCAGTTAAAAAAGGGAGGAATGGCATCTTGTGTAGTAATGACTGACTAGTCTGGTAATTGGACGGCGGTCCAAAGGTTGTTTTCTTTTGGAGGGAGGGTTACCTAACTAGTCGGCAACGTCAGGGAGATCTCCATGCTGTGTTCGGAGGGTGTGTGCTGTGGATTGTGGCGGGCGCTCTCTAGTACGGCGTTGAGCGATAACTAATAAGGCAAGGTACTTTGCCTTGCCCCCGGCCAGTTCAAGGTGGCGGGTTCGCAGGCAAAAAAAGAGAGAGAAGCTCGTTATTATTAGCATGCATTCGCGATAGCGGCCTTTCTCGTCGTCACCTCTTCAACTTGCATCATACATGTACCTCATCCATCGCACTCGGACGCTCTAACGGCATCAATCACATACGGCTCGAACCCTGACTGCGAGCAACATCTACGCTGTTGATTCGTTGTCTTTTGGGACTCCTTGTCTATTTTCCTGTGTCAATTTCTCTTTGTCTTGTTTTTTCATCACCACTCTCGTTTTTCTTCTAATCTAGGTAATCCGTTTATACTGCACCCGCCATGATGCCCGGAAACGACACGACGCATCAGCATCACAACGGAGGAGGTTTCGATTTGCTGCGCAGGGCAACACAAGCCATGATGTCTAAGTAAGTGGCCTCTTTATTTCATTTCTCCATCTCCTCACCTTGTCTTTTTCTTCATCCTGGTTCAACCCAGCGCTCACCCGTCGAGTGACGGCGTTTGAAGTGGTCCCTACCATTCACAGCGGCCAAGCCTAGTGGACTAGGTACATCAGCGTAACGCCTCAAGCGGCGCGCTGCGGGCTCAGTTATCCAGCAACATCAACCCCCCAACTAGCCTGGGCAAAAGCTTGTCAAGTTGGCGGCGTCTTTTCAATTATCTGGGATGATGCGACACTACATGGCACGGAGAGGCAAAAAATCCGGACTCGAAGCATCTTCGGGACGATGGGACGCGGCAAAGAGTGGCGACCGGCGCTCTCACATTGCGACTGGTGAGGGGGCGTACGACCCAGCAAAGGTGTTATTGTCAGCAACCACGAACCCTTTTCGCCCCTCAGACAAGCAAACGGCGAGCGACGACGGAACGAAAATAGACGAAAGGGCCAGCCTGGCTTGCACGGCTGGCCGCTCAGTCCAGCAGCAAACAGACCGCTAGCTGCTCTCTCTGGCATCGCCGCCAATGGCTACAAGGTGGCTCCGCCCCAGCGCCGGGCTTTATTATGGGCCGAAGAGGGGAGGGGCAAAGAGGAGAGAGGGAGAGTCAGAGAGCAAAGAAGAAGCCAAGAGGCAAAACGGCTGTCCACCATACTACCACACCCGCCACACTCCACGCCAACACGCCTCCCAGCGGTCTACGTCGACTTTTGCGAGTCAGCCTAGCCGCAGCGGTCTTTTGGAATGCAGGCGGCGCTGGAACCCGCTGCCACCTCCTGGTGAACCTTTTTGGTGGCTCCCAGTGTCTCGGTGTCTTGGTGCAGACTCTGCAGAGGCTTCTTGGGTTCCGCTGGCTTGCAGCCACTTGGTCCGAGCTTGCTTCTCGTGTGCTTCTGGCTTGCTTCCATTTCTATTCTTGTCTCGCCGAATCGTCAGTCAGCTAGCCAGTCTCGCCTATTCTCTCCGAATCGCATCCGTTTTGCCGCAACTATCATCGACTCCTTCGGCCCTGCCGCCCTCCCCATCCGCGACTGTGAAGCCACATGGCAATTTCAATGGGCTAGCCCACACAAAATGGCTGGACATGGAGAGGGTCGGACGCAGCGCATCTTCGCTGCGACGCACCCTCGAACAAATGTTTGAGATTCCGCACTTTGGCCCTCTGCCACGTCTGCCAGGGCCATTACTGATTACTGCCGACCTACGTCAGAGTGCAGCCCTCGACAATTCACATGCAGGCAATCCGCTCTAACCGGCACGCCCATCCACACCCGCACCCAGTTCTCAGGTACGCGGGCATGCCGTTCCTTCACTGTGCTTGCTGCACGACGCCATGATCAACATGGCATCGAGCAAGCCCATACCCCTCATGGTGTTGGATTGTGGTGGGCCACCGAGAATAGTTCTTGGACCGCGAAACGCGGCATGGTTCAAATTTTCCATGGTCTGCCAATTCGGGAAGCTCACCTACTATTTACTATTTACTCCCGATGACTACATGCATACGTAGTATTGCTACTCGGTAGCCGGTGCAGCCACTCCCACACTACTGGTGCAGCCAGCAGTAAGTGATAGCTGTTCCTGCTGCATCTACTATTGGCGAGTCTGAAAAGTTGATTTGCGCCGGCCGTGTTGACTTGGGCTCTCAACCTCTTACTCAGCTGGTTCTCTGTTGGGCAGCGCCATTCTGCCGGGCTCGATCGTACCTGATATACACGGGGTACCTCTTTACCAAGTAGTTTTTGGCTAAATAGGTACGACTATTGTGGCTAGTGGCCACCAGCGCTCGCCAATACCCGCAAAAGCCTATCCAGGCCAGCCTATCTCTGACTCTGTCAGTCCGTTGGCCCGCTCGGAAGAAAAATTAATTCCATTGCATCAGCCAAACAGACCCAGAAAAGGAGAAGAGACAGAGTGCAAATTTGACATACCCGTTCTCGGAATTGCCGCCCGGCCTGCAGGGGCGCAAAGTTCGCCAGCCCAGGCAGCCCAGTCAACCCGAACCCAACCCTTTGATTGCACATGCCTCGAAACCTTGTATGCCTTACTCGGCCGCTCACCACATTTTCATCTCCATGTCAAGCAACCGCTACTTGGTCTCCTTTTACTTTTTTCATATATCTCATCTGCTACTTGCCCCAATCCTCGGCTGTGCCCCCCATTTCTCAGTCAAAACCAACTGCTCCATCTCGACGCACGAACCATTTTCTCCGCTTGCCAGTTTCTCCTTTGAAAGCTTCAAATCTGAATTTACTCCTACCATCACCACCACCACCACCCTCACGATTCTGGCTCTCCCGTCTTTCTCCGTGACCGGCGCGTAGCCATGAACTAGTCACTTTTCACCATCAAATTCCCACTTGCTGGTCGTCTCAACCTCCTCTCCACTTTCTTTGGATGGCTTGCTGGGACCGACACGCAAAAAACGCACCAAAATCTGCAGCGCCGCAGAGAACCACTTCAAACTATACGCCCAAGCCCCTCCCTCCCCCGCGCTCGCTGCCCACATTACGCTTTTTTCCTCATCGTCTTTTCTCCGTCTCCTCTTTGAGCGCTGGGCTTTTCACCCCTCCTCCTGTCTGCTCTGATTCTTCTCAGGCCTTGACGATAATACACTCAATCATCTGCCACCATGCAGACTGTTGACCAGCCCACTACTAGAACTGCCGCCGAAGACGATGGCATCGACCAAATAGGCTCAGACACCCCACGATCCGGCATTGCGACACCTCAACCCGATCCCTGCGACAAGCGCCTCCCCGGAATCATGAGCTACTTCGGCCAGGTTCGTCAAGACTCTTCTGCAACCGTTCCGCCTTCCTCCCTCGACTCGCGGCAGCACAATTACCACACCACATCACAGACTCCCCAGATGACCCTCGCTGCCGCTCCGTCCACCGACGCTGATATCCCGGCGCCCGATCATGAGGAATCCCGGCCACCGGCATCCGAGGAGCTACAAATACGACCGCCACCTCTTTTCCCTGCCGGCGTTCCGCCTTCTTCCTTATACTCCTCGGGCGCTGCTTCCTCAGATGCGTCGGCGGCCGTACATCCTCCTGCCCCTCTGTCTGCCAAGTCGGGCCCTACACAACACCTTACTACCAATATTCATCCCTATCCCACCCCTCCACCGTCGCAGCCTTGCTCGTCTGCAAGCTCCGCTGTACATGTTCTTAACAGCCGTGCGCAAGATTCGGCACCCGCTGGCCGGTCTGCTTCTCTCGCTGCCAATGCCATGAGCGCTGCCCAGCAACTGTCTTTCACTTCTCGTGGCGTTCACTCTCTAGATGAGAGTCGCGCTCAGTCTCCCCACCCCCATGTCACTACCCTTCCTAATTCTAATTCTGCTTCTTCCTCAACTACTCAACCGTCTAGCAAATGGTTTTCTTTTGGTGGGCTCAAAGAGCTAACACGTGGTATCATCTTCAAGAGCGGTCCCCCTACCCCGACCAGAGCTCTTTCGACTGCCCGTCCCTCGCAGTCGGACGGCAAAGACTCGGTGTCCCGTACCAGCAACGATGGTGCTGAAGCCAGCGGAACTCAGACCCCGCGCTCTACTGGCGCTCAGGTCCCTGCTGCCCGTGGGAAACTCACAGTCAAAATCTCCGAGGCCCGTGGCCTACGCAAGTGCCACGATCCCTATGTTGTTGCCGTTTTTCAACGCTCTGAGCTCATCTCGAGCGGTCCTCGACCTAGCGACGATGAAGAGCCTCTCAATGTTGCTCAGGCTGCTATTGGCGGCATCCCTATCCAGCGGTCAGGAAGTGATTCTGGGCGCCCCATGGCCATCCCCATGCGCAGTCGCCAGAGCAGCAACACAAGTATTACCGATTACAACACCTTCCGCAGCCGCAACGGCCGTAATGCCCCTCTCACGAACCCCAAATGGGACGCCGAGGCTGTATTGTATGCATATGTCCCGTGGTCCCCGCACCATCTTCCTTGCTAACCCGTGAGTATGTAGTGACGTTGTCGATTCCGGTTCCTTGGTAGATGTGTCCTTGTATGACCACACCCCCAGCGGCGAAGAGTTTCTCGGTCATGTCAACTTTGAAGCCCCGAAGGAAAAGGAGACGCCAGTCCGCGGCTGGTTCCCCCTCAAGGGCCACGTCAACACTGTTGCCGAGGCGGCGCCCACCGGTGAGGTCTACGTCGAGGCTCTATACCAGCGCACAGAGAAGAAGCACTACGGCCCTAGCGATTTCGAGATTCTGAAGCTCATTGGCAAGGGAACTTTTGGGCAAGTCTACCAGGTTCGCAAGAGGGATACGCAGCGCATCTACGCCATGAAGGTTCTGCAGAAAAAGGTCATTGTGCAGAAGAAGGAGGTGGCTCACACCGTCGGCGAGCGCAATATCCTTGTTCGCACGGCCACATCTGACTCGCCCTTCATTGTCGGTCTCAAATTCTCTTTTCAAACTCCCTCCGAACTATATCTGGTCACAGACTACATGTCCGGTGGCGAGTTGTTTTGGCACCTGCAAAAGGAAGGCCGTTTCGACGAGAGACGTGCCAAATTTTACATTGCCGAGCTGATTCTCGCCATTCAACACCTTCACAACAATGATATTGTCTACCGCGATCTCAAGCCTGAAAACATTCTCCTCGATGCGAACGGCCACATTGCGCTCTGCGACTTTGGTCTATCCAAGGCCAATCTCACAAAGAATGACACTACGAATACGTTCTGCGGCACAACTGAGTACCTTGCCCCTGAGGTACTTTTGGACGAGTCTGGCTACACCAAGATGGTCGACTTTTGGTCGCTTGGTGTCCTCGTTTTTGAAATGTGTTGTGGCTGGAGTCCTTTTTACGCTGAGGACACCCAGCAAATGTACAAAAACATTGCCTTTGGCAAAGTTCGCTTTCCGCGGGATACGTTGTCGCAAGAGGGTCGAAATTTTGTCAAGGGCTTGCTCAACAGAAATCCCAAGCACCGCCTCGGCGCCTCGGATGATGCCGAGGAGCTGAAGCAGCACCCCTTCTTCAACGACATTGACTGGACGTTGCTCGCGCAAAAGCGCATCGCCCCTCCCTTCAAGCCCAAGCTCAAGTCTGAAACCGACGTGTCCTATTTCGACCCCGAGTTCACCACGGCCTTGGACCAGAATGGGTCCCTCAACGAGCGCGCCGCCGCCCTCGCTCGAGGCTACGCCGCTTCGACGCCGCTTTCACCTTCAGTGCAGGCCAATTTCCGGGGCTTTACTTTTGTCGACGAGAGTGCCCTCGATGACCACATGGGTGATCGTGCGCGCAACGACGACGAGGACATGGATGACGCGAGCCAGCACACCAACGGTAATGATGACGACTGGGACAACTTGGACGATTTTGATGCGAGGAGGGATAACAGAATGAGCGGCATCGTGCGCACTTCGACTCATGACGAGCAAATGGTGGGAGGAGGGCACTTTGATGTTTAATATTCAGCTGTCTGTCCATATCTCTGTGATACCCACGCATTAAAAAAGGGAAAAGATTGTGCCAAAAATTTGAACACACAAAACGCATTGGTGGGAGAAACCAAAAAACACCTGTTTTTCTTTTTTTTTTGTCTCTTATGAATTCATGGGCATATGGGGTTTCGGCGGGATCATTCGGACACTGGACGGCGGGAAGGCAAATTTAATCACGTACAGACTCATTTTGGCGTTTGGAATGGTGATTTCCTTTCTCGGTTGAAACTGGTTTTATTGCGCGTCTTTGTTTATAACAATCCTTTTTTTGGCGTTGCTGTTCTCTGTTTGATCATCCCATTTGTTCAATGTGTGGCATAATTGTAAAATTGTATTTTTGCGTTTGAGAAGGCATAATCTAAGAAAACAGAACCAATTTATAATTAAAAAAGACCTGTCTGGTCTTTTATTATAGTTCTGCTGATTGAGTGTGTTGAATTGTTGGAAGGATGGGATTCGAAGAGAACCAGGGGCGTGGATGAAGCAGACATCTTGATTGTCGACAACAAGACGCTACTAGCACGATGATGCAGGAAAGGGCCATCATTTAATATGGTACTTTTAACCTCGAATGCTTCAGCATTGCGATATTGTTGTCTTGTTCTTTCATAAGCTTGGAGCGAGCTCTGGTTTTGTTACTCTGCATGCCTCTATTATTGCAATGATGCTTCGTCTCCACTCCATCTGTTAGATTATCCATCATCATCCCGTCGCTCGCGGGCTGACGGCCTTGATGATGGCCCGAATCTCAGCGGCTATCCAGACTTGACATTTGGTTGCAAACGCGTAGTGACTTGACGATGCGAGTCTACATGAACAAACCGATACAAGGAACAGCAAATCGCTTTAGGATTGTTGCATTGAGACAAAAAAAAAATTGAAAATGATTCAAAGAAACAGGCAAAAACACCCATGCAGGGTCGTCTCATTTCTTTACAAGGAAAAAATGTACAACAAGAATTCCTTCAGCCGCGCCAGGAATCCTGTTTTCCACTCAGCCCGTTTCCACTGCTGAGCGGACCAAGCAGTCGCCGAACGCGAGGAAGCAGATACAGACACCCGCCTCCCGAGCATTCTGCGACAGTCCACACCACCTCAACCCAAGATTAATATCCCATGCTCTCCACTTCGTCCATCAACTCCGGGCATGCGCGCCGAGGGGGCGATGATGAGCCCGATGTATTTTGACGTGCGTTATATATCCCCCTCCCATATCTTTTTGCCTCTCTCCCGCCATCACGCAGCTGTTCTTTCGTTGTAGCGCGTTTGATGTCGCTTAATGCTTGGGCGCGGCGTCCTCCTCCTCGGCCTCGAGCCAGTCAGGAAGGGCGGCGGGAATGCCAGAGGCCTGCTGAGCGGCGTCCTGGCCCTCAATCTCGACGGCCATGCTCTCGTACTCTTGAAGGCTGCTGGCGAGGTCGGCCTCCTCGGGCGACTTGGGCGTCTTGGGCTCGGCAAAGGTCTGGACCTGGCCGACCGAGTCCGACTCCTTGACGGGGGGCATCTTGTAGGCCTTGAGCTCCTTGAGGTACAGCTCCTGGACGAAGTCGGCTAGAAATGAAAGAAGAGCTATGTTAGCGTCCATGGTTTTCAAGGTTGACGGCGCGTAAAGCGAAACCCCCGGAGGAAAAATTGGCTGCCCATAACGTCGCAAAGTCCGTCGGCTCTTGATTAAAGTGTTCGTCCAATTCGGTCAATTGAGGTCGTTGGCTGGACGCGGCGATATTCATGGCTGCGGCAAAGTCGGTCGGGTGCTTCGGCTGCTGCAAATCCGCTGTTTTCTCCGAGGAGGCAGGCGATCGTGTCTCCATGCGCGTTGTACCAAAGGGGTTGACGGTCGCCCGTGTCCGGAAGTTGAGGGAAATAATCATCGCTCGCGGGAAGGAAAAAAAAAATTGTTCTTACCTCTGCGAGGAACGGTAGGAGCAATGAAGCTCCTCGTCTGCACCGATCGCGAGACGGTGGTCATGACAGAGCGGGCGCGCTATTAACCCGGGAGCAAGGCCCCCTCAGTCAGCAAAAGCTCTTTTTTGGCGGAAGAAGGAAAAGAGATACGGTCGGCAGTGGTTGCTCGGAAAAAAAACAAGGGGTGAGATACGTACAGCGACCCGAGAGATTTGGCTGAGCATTTTGAATGGGTTGGCGTTGCTCAATGGGAAAGCCCGATGTTGGCAAGAGATGGACTGAGGTTTTTTGAAAAATCGTGATGTCGGCACCGTCTGTCCATTCTCCCTCCCCGGCTTAGTCCGTGGCTGGTTTTCCAAGTTTCTGCCTGAGGCTTGTGGAGTTACTCCAAAGGATTGAGTCACGTGAGTCATCTTCGATCTCAAAAGCCTGCTCGGCAGGGGAGCTATGGGAGCGATGACGCTCTTGAGACTAGCACACAGCCACGCTACGGAATGCAGTTGGATCAGAGAAACTTAGGAAGATCTTGCTTTTGCAGCACAAGCTTAGTGGTGTCACCGGATCTGGGCGCGTTGCGAGACAATCTGCCCCAAGCTTTATTCTTGAGAGTAGCTCGACTTGCTCGAGTAGGTCCTGGGCTTTCGAAGAAAGATCGATAATTAACAGAAAGAAAGGATGTGATTCAAATTCGCTCTTCTCGAAATCTTCTAAAGAAAAAATCCCCTTTATTGACGCCAAGAAAGACTTGTTGCGCCTTTTCGAGTGATGCCACTATTCACGCTCGACCCTTCCAAATGGTGCTAATGACAATCTCAACCATAGCACGGCCTCTCGCCTATCGACTCCAATTTTCGTCTGAAATGGCACTTGAGTCCCGTTCCTTTACTAGTGGGCTGCTGCTGCTGTGGTTTTTGGTTGCTTTGGCCTTTCTGAATTCGATCCAGGGAATAGAGAGAAAGTACGGTCCGGCAATAACGGCAGAGAGCACAATGTAAGCCGTACGGAAAGCCATGCCAGTGCCGGCTAGCTGAAGTCCCAGGCCGCCATTGACGATGCCAATGAGAATGAGCGCGCGGCCGTACCAAGCGTGAATGTGGCTCAAGGCTCCACGGCCTCCGCTGCGCTTGAAGCTCGTGTGGTGCAAGGCACCCAGGATCGGCTGCAGGACCATCAAGGCACACACGATGATTCCGAGCTTAGTGTGCGTGTTTTTCCAAAACTGTCTGTGTTAGGGCCACAATTCGTGGTATGGTGTGGTGTCGTTACTTACTGTATTCATACGATCAGCCAGGACATAGCCCATACCCAGACCTGCCCACATGGCCAGGAAGGCAATCGTCTGGAAAAGCGAATGGAACATCCACTTGCCGATGATTGGCATCAAGAGCGCTCCCGCGGGATACAGAATCACCCAGACGATCATCATCAAGATTCCATGAGCGAGGGGAAGGGTATTTGAAGCAGCAGAGCTTGAGCCACCGCCTCCCGAGATAATGTTGCCGCCACCGCCGTTACCATTGCCGTTATTATTGTTGCCTTGGTCAGTGCCTGTAAACGGGTTGGAGTCGGCACTGATGGCAGCCTGACGAAGGTCAATCTGGAAGCTCGAATGGTCGTCGTGATAGTTGATGCGAGCGCTCGTGTCCTGTGAGTTGATGGGCTCGCCGGCCTTCCACGCCGCGATCCAGCCGCTATCGCCCGTGAGGCTGGCGCTCGTGCAGTCGCCGCAGCGAACATTGGCCACCATCTCATCGCCCACCACACCGGAACCCGCAAGGAGCTCAACTGCAGAGCGCTCCGCGTGCTGCGGCATGACGTGTCCTGTGCCAGGCCGCGTGCTGAGCGTGACGTTGCCGGCGCCGTCCTGATATACGATAAAGATGTCGGCGCCCTGCATCCGGCTGCCGATGCCAAGGGCCGTCCACGCGTAGGACGTGGGCGCGCGCAGCTGGAAGTAGACGTTACCGGAGCCGGACTGGATGGCGGTGTCGGGGACGCCCCAACGAAAACAGATCTGTGAGTTGTCGCCAACGCAATGGGGTGCGCTGGCTGCAGAAGCTCCAATAGCATCTATAGGGGGGGCATGCCGTTAGTAGAGGGCGATGAAGCCGTGTTTGCAGAAGTTGGAGTCATACTGAGAGTAGCCAGCGCTACAGCGCCGGCAGATTGCTTGCCTGATACCATTATTCTGTAGCAGTATTACGAGTGGACGTGGTGTATTCGTCGTGCTTCTCCTTTGTAGTCACAAGATGGATAAATGAAACCTGGACTAGAAATATTGTAGTATCAACAAGTCATAAATACCAGGGCAGCAGAAAATTGAAATCGAGGAGGGTTGGCTTGAGATATGTACTCGATCTATCTGCCGGTAGTGCCTGCCACAATGCAGCACGGTTGCACACCCCAGACTCCGATCACACCTCGGAGGCGCTTGAATACCAAGCAAAGCAAGTGCTTGGGCAATGGGCAAACCATGACTCCAGTACGTACTGCCCACGTCCAAAAGGGAGCCACCTCGCCTGGAAGGGGGCGTATGATATCAGATGGGGGAGGGTGTAGATTAGATGGGTGGATGGCTTGGTAAATGTGATCTGCCAAGTTGGTGTTTTGACTCTCCTGGGTTCGACTTGCGGATATGAGCGATCACCACAAACATAGTTGCACCGAGGTTTTCGTGGTTGCGCGACGCCTGCTGCTAACTATAGTCGGCGGACTAAAATTCGTTGATGCCCTGAGCAGTCAGTCCTACTATAAAACGTTGGCTCCTTTCTCTGCCATGTACTTTGACGCAGACCTGGGCGATGGACGCGAGTATCAATCCAATTCAAATCAACTGATTACTGGTTTAAAGAGCAGGAGCGGCCAGACAAGTTCCAGACGGGACCCTTGGGCACAAGGTCGCGGTGCATGGTTGTATGCTTCTTGTACTGTGCAAAAGAGGCCAGACTTACTACGGGGGTAGAACAAGACAAAAAACCAAGCTTCACACCCCAGGGACCATGGAATAGCAAATGCCTGCGCTTCCATTGGAGGATATCTAAATGTCTCTCGGTCACCATCCATCCGGGGTAAGAAGTGGCGCTAAGATTCCATAGTCTGCGCCTCCTCCCCTTCTGCCGTGTAAGCCTAGTGTGAAGCTAATTACAAGCCTAATCGAGTTGCTAGTTCTCGGCTTCGAGTGGTGCCGCCGGCGCAGCAAACCAGCCGAAGGCATTTTCAAATGGAAAACAGGTGGTGTGCGCGGGGGGGGGGGGAAAGACCGTCCATCGTCTGACCGATGCTTATTCTTGCTTCTTCTTCTTCTTCCTTTTCCTCCGCGCCGATTCACAAGAGACTTGATTGCTTACAAAGTAGACGGGCTGCCAAGGATAAAAACATTCGGTGTTGCGTAATGAGGCGGAGCCATCTGATGCATGATAGCGCAGGCGATCTCTTCTTCTTGGTTTTTTCGCTTTATGCTCTGCAAAATGCCAAGAGAGGCCTCTGGCATTGGGCGTTTGATAACATGCAATGATTGGCGATTTAATGGCACGACGGCTCATTTGGGAGTTTGCGTTTATTAGCATTGGGAGCACGCTGATTGGATGGGCTTTTGGGGGCAGTCGTCCCAGGAAGGGAGGGGGGGTGTGTCCTGCACACGCGGTTGGGGAGATGGCAGAGATAAAGGATGATGATACATGTCGGAGTTGCGTGTCCTTTCTGCATTCTGCCAAGTAAACTCTCTTTACAACTCCCTGGGCGGTGGCATGAGCTGGCCAAGGCTGTAGAGCATACTTAAGACATCTACAGAGAAAATAAGCTTTCATTCTTTTCTTGGCACTGGTACCTTTTTGCATCATTCGAGTTTGGGGGGTAGCATCAGCTTGTTGGGCTTGCGGGATGCCCGGCCTGTACTCATCTACTTGTCGGTTGCTTTGAAGCTGGAAAAGCCCTAGAATCGCTCCATGACTGAGCACAGCTGGCTCCACGTTTTCTCGCGGTTGGTGTTGACTGAACGAGCGACGTTGTGTATGAATCTGACCGTTCATCCTTTGGCCAATTTGTCTCCAGGTCCATGATCGGCGCGCCACAAGGGGTCAGTACTGCATAGTGACGTACGCAAAAGCTTTTTGTCTTCTGAGCAATGTTTAGATCGAGATGCCCCTCTCAGCGAGGGCAAAGTATTCTTGAAGGATTATCAAAGTCCTTGACGACCTTTGTGCTGCGAACAAGATATTAACGTGGTCTCCGACTGGCCATTTTTTTTTCATGCAGTTCTCAGGTGTAGCTACCACTTGATGTAAAAAAAATGGAAAACAACCCTGCATGTATACCGGCGTCATCATTCACATCCAACATATCTGACAGCGTCGTTGTACAGGCTGCCAACCAAGTACGCCGCGGTCATCAACACCACGTACATCATGATCTAACCGCCACGATCCCGAAAGCGCGTCATTTGATAATATTTGACACTGATCGGTGAAGCATCACCTATTTAGTTATTCGAGGCTCTCGATGCAAGCAGTCACCGTTCCACCTACGAAGACCGATCGCCCCCGCCTCCACAGCTCCAGATGCTAGTCTCTGCGAACTGCTTTGGAGGACGAGGCTGGCATCCGTCTAACTGGCCAATCGGCTGTCACCTCCCTCGCCATTGTAATCTACTTTGTTGTTGTACATATATGTATGGTTGTCATATTCAAATGATCTATAGTCACAGCGCACATTCATCATGAAAGAGCAATGCAATTGCAGTACAAGCTTCTAAAGCGGACATGTAATCAATTCTACCATGCCAAAATCTCATCATCCCAACATCGCCTTCTATCAAAACTATGTGTACTCCCATCAAATGACGCCAGCTGTGGCTCTAAGTCTACCAACTATGAGACGCTGCAAAACAATGCACTAGAAATGCTAAAAAAAAAGAGACATGAAAACAATATCAACGACTTTTTTCTTTAAAGCAGAAATAACTTTTTGGTGACTGAATCTAAAAAGAACATATGCCCTGGGACGTGCGGTCTTGCCACGCTCCGCCATGTAGTCAAGCGCCAGGCACGCCGCTCGCCATGGGAAAAGCGTGCGCCTCAAGGAGGCTAGACGAGGCGACGAAGCTGAAGCCGCCAAAGACATCGTCCTTGGAGGAAGCTGGAATGGCCCAGGGCTCCTTGACGGCGGTGAGGGAGGGGCTGAGGGCAAGGTCCGTAAACTCGGGGGCAAAGTTCTCGGCGAGCTCCGGGTCGGTAATCATGGGCTGGATGGGCGGCTCGAGGTCGCGAGCAGCGAGGCGCTTCCAGTCAATCTTGCGAAAGAAGCGGTGGCCCTTGAGCGTCTGCAAGTCCTTGGGCATATTGGAGCCGAGACGCTTGTGCGGGTCCTTGCGCAGGAGGCGCGTGAGCATGTCTTTGGCGTCGGCGCTGAGAAAGTAGGGCAGCGACAGCTTCTGCTTGACAATATTGTCCTGGATCTTGGCGTGGTTCTGACCGCGAAAGGGCGGGTTGCCCGTCATGAGGTCGTAGCCGAGGGCGCCAAAAGACCACCAGTCGACGGCTTTGCCGTACTTTTTGCCCAAGATAACCTCGGGTGCCATGTACTCGATGGTGCCGAGGAACGAGTGGCAGCTCTCGCTGGATTCCTCGGCGCTGACCTTGGAAAGGCCAAAGTCGGTGAGCAAGAGATGGCCATCGGCGTCCAAGAGGCAGTTTTCCGGCTTGAGGTCGCGGTATACTACACCGAGGTTGGTGTGCAGGTGCGAAATGGCGAGCAGCATTTCCGCCATGTAAAAGGCGGCATCGGTCTCGGAGAACATCTTTTCCGTGTTGAGATGGGTAAAGAGCTCGCCGCCCTGGCCGTACTCGAGAATGAGGTAGAGCTTCTCGTGGTCCTGGAAAGCGTAAAAGAGCTTGACAACAAAGGGGTGCCTATTGACAGATTCGAGAATCTGCCTCTCCGTCTTGGTCTGCTCGACGAGCTTTCGATGGACAACAAGCGACGCCTTCTTGAGCTGCTTTTGCGCGTAAAGCTTCCCAGTGGCGCGCTGCTTGACGAGAAGCACGGTGCCGTAGGTTCCCTGGCCCAGGCAACGCAGGGGTTCAAACTCTTGGGCCGTCATCTTGCGACGAGGATGGAGGCCGCCTTCGAGCGCCTCCATGATGCCCGAGCGATCGCGCAGGCTCTCGCTGACAAAGTCGTGCTCGAGATTCACCTCGTACTCGGTCGACGCCGTCTCGTAGCCCTCGCTACCAGCTTCGCTCGGGGCGCCGTCGCGGCTCTGGGAGCGGCTATCGAGCTCAAGGCCCAACGCGGAGCCGGATTCTAGCACTCGTCGTCCCAAACGCGTGGCCGAGCTGGAGCGCGATGCGGCATCGAGGCTGAGAGGGTCCATTTGCATGCGAAGCTTTGCGATGCCAGAGACGCTCGGCGAGGGCGTGGGACGCATGACGGGACTACAGTTGGCGCTGACGACGTCGTCGATGCGGTGACGGCCGCGTCGATTAGCCTGGGGAAGCGTGACCCGACCGACGGCCCCTCCACAGTCAGAATCCTCATCACCAGAGGTGGCAGGCGTGCCAGGAAATCCGCGCACAATGTTGCGCGCGGCAGAGGTGGGGCTTATCATGACGCCGGGATCGTTGTAGTCGTGATTATAAGTGTGTAGTAGTTGTGCTGAAGCAACAAAATGAAATCAAAAGGAAAATAAAGGAAGATATTTGCCCGCCCTCCCGCAATAAATCAGGGTGGCAAGCGCGCAGGTGGTTCGCGATGGAGTCAATTCGAGCCACGACGTCGCTCGGGGTCGGCGCGCTTGGTGGTGTCGTCGTGAAGCAGGGTGTGGGCGTTTAGCTGGCTGGCAATACGCATCTGGTATTTGAAAAAGGCAGGTCGGGGGTGCGTTTGTGTCGGTATATGCATTTGAAATCGAAGATGAAGGTGGTGTTTTGATCTTTGTAGAGCAAGTCTGGTCACCAAGAGGTGTAGGGGGGAAAGAAGAGACTAGGGAGGCAGTTCAGTGCGTCGGACGAGACACGGTTTTTTTTTTTTTTTGCTCTGTCCTCGTTGGAAAAAATTTGTGGTGCTGAGCCGTATCACGAGTCAAAACGGCAAGACCTGCATTGTCGGCTAATATTAATACGGAGACTATTAGCCTAATAATACTTGTACCTTACGAAATGCATGTCAGCTTAGTGGCTATTTACAAGGCATAGGCCTCGAAAATGCGGGGGTTGCTGCTATACCTACTGCATGCTATGGGTAGTGTTCGCTATTGAATTAATGACGGCTCGCCCCAGCCGGTATCATCGTGGCGGCATGTAAAGTCTGTAGACGTCACCCCTTTATTCATCTCTTTAATCACCTCTACCATGTCTCTTCTTTTCTGCCTCAAGGAACAAGGCAGAGCCGGGTACATCAAATCGCAACATTTGGATCCTCCCCTTAGCCACGTGTGGCGCAACGCCTCAGTCACGGGTCATCGCGCTGCCCCTGTCGAGACTATGTCTCACGCCGCTTTCGACACTAGACCAGTGGAAAGTGATCTACAGTCTTGACCACATGCTACATCATTCAAGTGAACAACGCTGTAGCTCGGTGCTGATACTACTTTGTTTCTGCGGCCATGTAAATTTATAATGGAAATCACTATCCGATGAACTGAATGCGATCCGCCCATCTCGATGCTACTCCAGTAATTAGCTTCCAAAAAGAATCATCTCATACACATGTATTGACCCTTTTACGAGGATTCTTAAATACTATTTCCCTTCCATCTGCCCGAGAAAAAAGAGTAAGAAGAACAAAAAAAACCTGTCTGCCATTGAGAGCCCGTATAGCAGTAACATAATTCCCAGGTATACCCAACGCCGCTATGCATATCCGCAAGAAAAGATCTATATCAAAAGTGAAGTAACATTCCAGAAACCCCAACCACACTCTCCGTTCATAATCACACTTATTCTTCCACTTCGCCTTCGTCCTCCGACAGCCTGGCCCTCTTGTCCGATCGCCCGCCGTCACCGACCGTCTCCGCATCCGGCTCCTTTCTTTTCACCGGCGACCTTGGCGGCTCCGTCATCCTCCTGTCCCCATCGCCATTCGTCATCCGCACGGCAGGGCTGCGGCTATGACTGTCCCGCGGCGTGCTCATGTTATTCGGCGACAGCAGCGGTGTATTGTTCGCGCCGCCGAGCGCCGCCGCCGCCGCCGACCCGGCGTCACCGCGGCGCCGCGTGTGCTCGAGGTGAAAGGCGGGAGACGGCAGCGACGGGTTCTGCTTGCGGAGTGGGTTCTCCGTGTAGAACTGGCGCATCACCTCGACCGCCTTTGCGCAGCGCGCCTCGTCGCCGCGCAGGTGGCGCCACCAGGGCTGGCCGCTCACGTCGTCAATCTGCTGGTTCGTGTGTGCGCTGGCAAAGAAGATGGCGCTGATGGCAACGTCGCGCGCCTCGATGAGCAGCGGCAGCGCCGTCAGGCACGCGTCGTTACAAAAGGCCCACGCCGCCTGCCGGAGGTGCTTGTTGTGCACAATGTCGAGCTTACCGAGTAGCTCAAACAAATTGCGGTAGGGATTATCCACCATCATGTCAAAGGTGAGCTGCTCCAGCATCACCTCCTCGTACGTGAGGATGCTGTCACGCCAGCGCCAGTACTCCTTGCTCTGCTCGTCAATAATGAGTTTGGCGTTCTTCTGCGCGACCTTGGCGACGGCAATGATGATGTCCTTTGTCTTTCGGCAGTTTTCTTCGACCTTGTTGGCCAGGAACAGCGCTGTCGCGGCAATGTTCTGCATATCATATGTCAGTCTTGAAATACTCTTTCAGCCGTTTATCTGTCTTCTCGCGTTTCATTGTCTCAGCGCGTGAGTCGTAAAACCTACATAATGATGGACACCGCCCTTTTCAGGCACCATGCTGCAGCGCATGTAGAAGCGGTGAAAAAAGACACCCGCCACCCATAGCGTGATTTGCGGCAGGTCGAGCATGACGCCGGCCTGATACACAAAGTTGACGCCCTTGGCCCGGCGCAGCCGCTCCTCTTCGGGCGAGAGTCCGTCAATGACGGACGGCGTGCTCAGCACCTCGGCCGGCGTAAACGACCACTGGTTCGCGCCGAGCAGCGGCGTCTGCGATCCCGACGGTGCTGCTGCTGGTGCTGCCGCCGCGGCCGCGGGCGTGTGCGTCTGGGAGCGCGGCGGCGAGTGGCGAGACAGCGGCGGGGGAGGTGTGGGCGCCGCGGGAGGCACTTCGCGTCGCGTCGCTGGCGAACGCGCCGGCGCCGGCTGCTGCTGCTGCTCTTGTCGAGGGGGATTCGCTACGGTGGGCGGCTGGTAGCCCTCGCGCGGAGGCCGGTATCGATCGATGCTTGCCATTGCTGCGGCGTCAGCAGTTTAGGCCGACTAGGGGGGGCGCGGGAGGCTGGCTGTTCCAAAGGAGAGAGCGAAATGTCGTCTGTATGCCAAATCTATGTCGACTGACTGTAGAGAGTGAGAGAATTCCGCCTCGTCTGCCGCATGGGGAGCAGTGCGCCTGCGTTAATTAGTCGTTGGAAAACGAGGTTGCTGGGTGGCATTGAGTTTGGAGGCTTCCGCAGGGGTCCATGACGCGCGAATGCTTCTGGGCCTGATGGCTGTCGGTGCAAAATCAGCCAATCAGGTGACTCGCCACCATCTAAGTTTGTCGGTTTGTACAACTCGCAAACTCGTCCTTTTGAATTTGGAAAAAGGAATTCAAATCATTTTGCACGACTATCTCCTGGCAGTCCATTTGGCCATTGTAGTTTTCGTCAAGTTTCATTGTGTAATTAATATAGTCTATTTTCTCTTACGCAGCCTCCCCGTCGTTTCGCCCCCACAGCTTGACAGTGCGATCATGACCACCACTTACAATCCATCTACCGTCTCGGCTATAGTCGGCGGAAGTGACTGGGCCGGTATGGCCGCTCAGAGTCTGGATCAAACTCCAATCGTCGGCAGAGAATATTTTGACATTGCGATCAAAGCCCGCCGACACGACAAACGTGCCCGTCTTCTTGGGTATCTGCACGCCCTTTTCATCCAGCGGCGGCGGAATGGCATCCAAGGGATCGTCCATACCCTTGAACCAGCGCACGTCCGAGACGGCGCTGCTGTGGGCTCCAAAACCTCCCGTCCTTTGCACTTTACGCAGATCCCAGCACTTGATCCAGCCGTCAGCAGATCCCGTCAACACTCTGTGTCCGTCTGCGCTCCAATCCAGCGCATAAATGGGCTTAATGTGTCCGTCTAAATGGCCATCCAGAATCATGACAGTCCTCCCTGACCGCACATCCCATATTCTTCCGATGCTGTCTAGTCCCGCGCTGGCTATTAGAGACCCGTCATTGTTGAAGCTGACAGCGTAGACACCCCTGGAGTGGCCCTCTTGCAGCAGGAGCTCCTTGCTTGTTTCGACATCCCAGAGTCGCCAGGAAGTATCTTCCGAGGCTGATGCGAGATAACGCCCTGACGGATGGAACTCGACTCGACATACACGCTGTGTGTGGCCTTGTAGCGTGGCGAGCGGGGTGTCCTTGTTCAGGGACCAGAGGTTGATCAGGCCCTCTGCGCCGCCCGACGCGAGGTTCACAGAGTCGGCCGACACATTAGACTCTGGTAGTGTAGCTCCAGGGAACCAGGATATTCCACTAATCTTATTTGTATGCCCTCGGTAGGCCATCTTCTCGTCGAGACTTTGTAGTCCGAGGAGCTTCACCTGTCCGCCCCAATTTCCGACAGCAACAAGCTCGCAATTGGGCGATATTCTCGTCATGCTAATGTTACGCTCGCCGACAATCTGGCTTCCTTGTAGCTCAAATGCACCCAGTCGCTCCTTTATCTGCTTGCGGAACTTGACATGCGTACGCAGGGGAATCTTGGATTCGAGACGTTGAAAGGCTGTTCGTTGCTTGGCCCGCGGCAGGGAATATTTGGCAATGTTGATACGCGCCTCGAGAAGCGCCTGACCTCCACGGGAGTAGAATTCCTCGTCCGCCTCGTCTTCCTCTTCTTCTGCGTCCTCCATGGTCACGTCGGCGGCCTCGCCGCCTGCCTGCTCGACCTGTATCGTCATGAGCTCGCGCAGTCTGTCTCTTCGATCGCCCGGACCCTCTCCGAATAGGGTGATGGGCTCGCCCATCTCACGGAGCTTGGCACGCACGCGTCCATCGTCGGTAGGGACGGCTATTGTAGCTGCGAGACGTTTGCGATTGAGCTGGCCGAGAATGGCCGACGCCTTTTCAGACGACGCGCCAGCAATATTTGTCGGCAGGTTATAGTCGTGGTCGTCGGGAAGATCTTCGAGCGCGATGCCCGACATGGGCTCGTCATCGACACGCGCTTGCCTCGACGGGTGCATCATCCTGGCAGCTGTATCTTGGCTCGACTCGCTGCTTTCGTGTGCCGTTGGAATTGTCGCTCGGTCATGTGTCGCGAATTCGGCGGCGTAGTATGATCAGTGAGTCTGGTTGTCACAAATGAAATGCCAGGATACCCGAATGAATAGCGCCGTATGGAAATGTGTTGGAATGCGACAGCGAGCTTGGATACTGACTGGAAGAGAAGTGGTTGAAAAAAGAAGCTTGGTGCTCCACCAGTCGCGACGGCACTGCGTCGAGTAACCTCTAGCTATGCTAGTAGTGCACCTCTGATAATGTACATAAATAACCTAAAGGTGCCGTTCAAAACTTCTCAGATATAAATAACTCTTTATAAAAATGTCTTGTTCGACAATTATATTTTATTAAGCAGGAAACGTTTTCAAGGAGGAGTCTTTTTTTTTTGGTATATTTCTATTTAATCAAAGTTTAAACTATTCACGATATTTATATCAGGTCAAGCCCCGAGATAGCCATGCTGATCTAGGCAGGATTGTCAGAGATGGGCACATGTGCTCATATACTAGATGAGCTTTTGAACTTGTTTTGCACAATTCTCTGTGAAAAGTCAGCTTCGCGCTTTGGTGCCTAGAAGAGGCGGCACAGTGCGTTTTATTGCCAAGTACGGAGAACCTGATTTTGATTCTCGATACATTGTCACGCCGTTTCATTCTCCAATCCTTTAGGAATAATTACAATACTTTCGCACGAGACATGAGAGTAGTCTAGTAAATCGATAATAATCTTTAAGAATGTATAATGACTAAGGCTTCTGATAAATATCGTATTCTTCTACAATTCCCGTCTGTCAGCCGCCGGCCTTGACTGATGCATCGTCGGCGGCAATGTTCTTGGCCAGTGCCATGATCAAGTCAGAATGTGCTCCGGCGTCGAGTCCACGATCAGGATGACTGGCGAGTACCTATCCTCCTTAGTAACTATAGGTAGTGGTGCTGGCGGCGCTGGCGAGTATTCTTCTTACTCCCTAGGTAGGGCGCTAGCGAGTATCCTCCTTCAACCACACTAAAAATCGAGTATCCTCCTTCGCCCACACTAAAAATCGAGTATCCTCCTTAACACTAGTAATTCTAGCGAGTATCCTCTTTTACCTAAACTAATTAGCGAGTATTCTACTTTGCCTACGCTGATTATTAAATCGCGAATAATTACATTTACCAGGTAAATTAAGGGCCCTTATTTATCTACTTTAGATTACTGTATAATTGACCTGGGTGTAGTACAGCCTTTGCAAGACCGAAAGGCATTATTCTATTCTATTCGTGCATGTTCGCCGCGATCTGAGACATGAGCCATCGACGCCTGCTGCTAGATTAGACTCGATGCCAACTTTTGAAGCTGAAGAATGCATGACATCTTTGCTTTGCTTTATTAAATATTCCAATCTATGACAGACTTAGTCTACACACAAACAAATAGGAGAAAGTGGTCCACTTCTTCCTGCAGCAAAGTCTCATAACCTTTTTGGTATCTGAAGATGCCACGTGGGTGACAAAACTGTCCCGCCGCTTTTTATGGTGAGCTGATAGGATAGCGGCAAACAGGTCGTCACCCTCAAGGTATACCAGTTTACTTGTATGCTATTTACGTCTTGGTGATAACAAGGCTCTGGGAGGCGTGCGGGGTTTGCTGCGTGCAGCCAGCCACGCGGGGGTTGGGCCAACGAAGGAATCAAAGCAAATCGTAGAAAGGTACCAAATGATTTTGGCAACTACACTGAACAACTGCTTTTCTACTCTACTGAATGACTTGTTCTAATCAGTATCGTGCTGCTATGAATGAAGCTGCGAGTGGCGGCCTGGGTTGGCCGTCGGCGATGCGTGTACTTCCACCCTGGGTCGACATGGAATCGATTTTGCTTGCAATTATGGCCACACACGGTATTTTGAGCATCATAATCCTACCTCTTTACCGGAATGGCTTGCCAAAGGCTTCACGTGGCAGATTGATCCTGATAACCAGCGCTGCTATTGGATCGTGGGCTGCTGTAACTGGCGCTGTGGACTTGGCAGCTTCCTGGGGTCGGATTTTACCCTGGGTGAGAAAGTACATGGGACTTATCTGAGCTCATCGCTTACAATAAAACAGTTTATTGCGGCCAGCCATGCCATCAAAGTATATTATGAAGCAAAAGCTGCGGACTCCTCTCCTTCTGTGATGGATGCTGCTGCTTCGACTGTACTTCTGCTCGGCGTGGAAGTCATTCGCTGCAGCCAAGAGCCTGAATGTTCAGGTACTTCGTGGCTACTTTTTGTCAAGATCTTGCCGTCCTTTCTACTGCTTGTTATACTCCTTTCGATTCCAAGAGGAAATGACGACTTACAGGGAGGTTTGTCTGTCGACCGACAAAACACGGCACCTCTCATCGAGGCTCTTACGTTTCTATGGCCTAGAAAAGTGTTCAAACTCGACACGTTAAGGCGAGAGGACGTCGAAGCCCTACCAGTCCTCCCCACGAGCCTCCGAACAGAGAAGTTGTCGGAGAGTCATCGACGTTTTGCCCGCGGGCTGGACTCGCACAAGCTCGGCTTCGTTTTGATCAGGGAGTACCTAGGCGCGCTAACTCTCCAATGGTTTCTGTCAATTTTGAACGCCTTGGCTCTTCTCGGGCCAAAATTAGTCACGTATCGGCTGCTGCAGCATCTCAGCGGCGAACGCGAGGCTGGCAACCGCGACAGTCTGTTCTTGGCTTTGCTCCTCGGCGGATCGAAATTTCTGCCTGTTCTCCTTTGCGCTTGGATAAGATGGATAGGCACTAGCATGATTGATATACCGATGCAAAGTACGCTATCAGCGTTAACGTACCAAAAGATCCTGTCTCTACCCGCTACAGCTGCCAGCGACGAGGACAAACAGGCACAACGCAAGGAAACATGGCTACAAATGGACGGTCTAAGGTTCAACAGCAAAGTCCCCGGTACTTCATGAATAAGTGCTAACATTTGTACACAGTCTTCGCGCTTGTTATTGGTTTTCCACTTGTCATGTGGTCGTCGGGCTATTGACACAGCTCATCGCCACAACCGCCGTCCTCGTCGCCCTCGTTGGTTGGAAGTCGGTCGCCGTCGCCGTCGCAGCTGTGCTTCTGATAGCGCCTGTTACCGCATCAATGGTGGAGCGCTGGACTGCCTTGCTGATTAAAAATTGGAAGTCTGGCCGTGAGCGAAGTGCGGTTCTGCACAAGGCGCTCCTCGCTATTCGCCAGATTAAACTCTCTGCCGCGGAGCCTTTTTGGAAGCAGAAAATCTACAACATTAGAGATAAAGAGGTGCAGGGATATAATGACATTGCCTGGTTACGGTTCTGGATGGTAATGGTTGAGAATATCGGCCCGGACATTCTGAGCGGTGTTCCGATATACGTCTATGCGTGGCAGGGTCATGCTCTGACTGCGTCGGTGGCGTTTACATTCCTCAGTCTGTTCAAAGAGCTTCAGCCGAACCTAGTGGATATACCAGAACGGTTCTCTCCCATCAGAACCGGCTGGGCAACTGCGGGCGAGTTGGATGCCTTTCTGAGAAAGGAAGAGATAAGCGAGCCTCAATTTGTCTCTTCCAATGCATTGGCATTGCGTGATGCTGCCGTTACTTGGCACAGCGAATTGAGCGAAAAGGCGACTTTTCAGCTGCAAAGTCTCGAGGCAGAATTTCCTACCGGCGAGCTGAGCATCATAACTGGAAAGACGGGATGCGGAAAGTCTCTGCTCTTGTCTGCTCTTGCTGGTGAAGCGAAGATCTTGTCTGGTGACATTTGTCGTCCTCAATCTTGCAAAGAAGAACACAGCGAGGAGCATCCTGCGCTGGAATGGGTCAAGCCTGGGACTTTTGCGTTTGTATCCCAGACACCGTGGATGGACAACGCATCCATCCAAGATAATATCCTCTTTGGCCTGCCACTGGTTGAAGAGCGCTATGCTCGTGCCCTTTACTGCTGCGCGCTGGAAAAAGACTTACTCGGGTTTGAAGATGGAGACATGACTGTCATTTCAATCAAAGGTGTCTCTATCAGCGGCGGTCAGCGATCTCGTATCGCTCTAGCGCGGGCTCTCTATTCCCAAGCCAGCTTCCTGTTGATGGATGACGTGCTGAGCGCGGTCGATGTCGAAGTCCGCGAGTGGATTGTAGAAAAGGCACTGTGTGGCAGCCTCGCCCACGGCAGGACTTGTGTTCTTGTGACGCATCACGAGGAGCAATTGCGCTCGAGGATCTCATGCCGACTGCTTATTCGCGATCAGACTGTAACGAGTGAGCTGGTGTTCAGCAGCACTTCCTCTTCATCAACCGAAAAGGGCTCTAGTGAATCTTCTCACCCGAATGATGGCTTCGACTATACACAGCATTGCCGGCAAAATCGTCGTCCGTCGGAGAAAGAAACCGCCATGCCGGTTCAGCATACCCAGCCAGATACAGCAGGGGAGAGCTTCCACATAGCTCCCTATGTCATGTATTTTAATGCTAGCGGTGGCCGAGCAAGCTGGTTACTTGTTTTTATTACTTTAATTGTCTGCGAATGGAGCAGAATGTCTGCCTTCTCTTGGCTCGAGGAATGGGTTTCGGAGAGTGAAGCTCCTCTAGAGCCCACGAGGCCCAATTCTCTTTCTCCTGGTCAAGCATACATGCTCATGAGCGCTTTGACAACGCTGACTGTATCCATGAGAGGCTTCATCATGTTCAAGCTCCACAGAACTGCCTCAAAGAAACTGTTTCATCAGATCACGGAGCACATTTTCGGAGCACCACTGCAGTGGGTTGAATCAGCTTCGCACGGCGAAATTCTTCAGCGCTGTGATCGAGACATGAGAAACGTCGATGAGGACTTGACATATGCCATTGGACCATTATTCGCGATAATCAGTCAGCTCATTACCTTTATGTGGACTAGGTAAGCTTCTGCCACCTTTGAGAGATTCGTACACCCTTCCCGAGTGTACTAACACCATTGTAGTACCTCGTTGTCATTTTACAGTACCCCTCTCATGATTGCTTTGTTCTATTTATTCTTCAATTTTGGAAGAAATCTCATACCAGCGACAAAATATCTGGCTGCAATTGAATCCACAGCATCATCTGTATTCCTACAGCATTGCAGTTCGTTGTATGCTCCAGACGGTGTCTCCACGTTGCGCGCCTACGAAATGAAAGACCACTTTATCCGGCGCGCGAACAGACTACTCGATAAAAGGGCGTCTGCTACATGGTATCAGAGTCTGCACGGCGTCGTGACAGATTTTCAGATCGGCTCCCTGGGCGCCTCCTATGTCGCACTGGCCTGCTACTTTATTGCAGTATCCGGGGCGGGAGCTGGCACTGTAGGCACGACACTGGCCTTTGCTGTACAGCTCAGCGAAACGTTGTCGAGCTGCCTCCGGCACATATCCGCCATGGATTCGGGCCTCATGTCCGCCGAGAGGCTTGTCCAGTATGGTTCGATTGAGCAGGAGCCCTCTGACGGCTCAGATGTTGGAGACTCATGGCCTGAAGAGGGACAAGTTCAAGTCTCCAACTACAGGGCAGGCTATGGTCCTGGACTGCCTGATACTCTCCGCGATGTAACTTTTACCATCAAGCCTGGTGAGCGGGTTGGCGTGGTTGGCAGAACAGGCGCTGGAAAGTCAACGTTGGCGCTGTCTTTTGCCCGGCTTATCGAGAAAAGAGGCGGAACCATCCGCGTCGATTCGGCCGACATTTCGCGCATCAAGCTCCAAGTTCTACGCAAACAGATTCTCATCATTCCTCAAGATCCATATCTCTTTGGTGGTACTCTGCGAGCCATCATCGACCCAGACAACGCACATTCGGACGAGGAATTAGCTGCCTGCTTGCAGCGGTTTCGATTCTTTCCCACGACTGTACACGTAGAAACGAAGAGTGGTGCCGAAGCGCTTGACTTGTCATTCATGGTCAGTGATGGCGGCGCCAATCTTTCTCAGGGTCAGCGACAGATCTTATGTCTTATCCAAGCGACGCTCTCTCGGAAAAAGGTTGTGATAATGGACGAGGCGACAAGTGCCGTGGACATGGAGACGGATTCCGCGATACAAGCTGTGATCCGGGAGGGGCTTCTAGACACCACAGTCATGGTGATTGCTCATAGGCTGGCCACTGTCGCTCACCTGGACAAGGTGCTAGTTATGGAAGATGGAAAAGTGGTGGAATTTGGTAAGCCAGCTGAGCTGTATCAGCAGGAGGGGCAATTCCGGGCGCTGGTCAATCGTAGCATTGATAAAGAGGAACTCGTCAAGGCCTTTACGCTCCAGTAGGGTGTAGGGAGGCTGAATTTCATTGATTTATTTATCTTTTTGCATCTGCACATTTATCTAGGTTCTTCATTTGCTGACTGCTCGTGCCTCCTGTAGTCAATTCGCTTATATTGTACAGCACATGTATCTTATACTGTGCTTCGCGCCCGATCATCCTGGCAGTCGCCGTCTCCAGCATGCGCAAGATGCCTGGGTCCGTGTAACTCGAAATAAGCTGGACACCATACTTTCCAAGGTTTGGTGCAAGCGGATGATGAGAATTTAGTCTTCAAATTTGAAGAGTCAGGGCTCGGCACTAATCAGGTCATTCGCAGCATGAATCACACCAAATCAAGCACAGTTTGAGCACCCGAGAAAGTCGTAAAGCTACAAAAATATAGCTCAGATTCAATCTCTTTAATAGTCAATCATCGCCGTAGATTATGCGCCAACAAGCGGCGAGTCAAGAAAATAGGAACTCCATATATTGAGACCAATCTTCACGCCAGACAGAACCGGCAGCCCAGCATGTGTCACGCGAATATCCCCAGAGCCGTTTGCATGTAGATTATTCCAAAAGATGCCGCTTCCCTTTTTTGGCCTCACCAGAAGGCCCTCGCCGTTCTCTGCTACCGCATACTTTTCATCATCTGCGGCATTCGAGACGCCGGCCACAAAAGGAAAGTACGTCTCACCACCTTGACAGTCATCTGCCAGGTACAGAAAAATACTCCCTAGACGGCGAGTTTGCCTTGGTGTACCATCAGTTTCGCTGGTCGTATTTTGCAGCACCTCGCTCCAATCAGTGTGCAGTCGATACCTATCGCCCTGATTTGCGTACTTGACTAATTGGAGTGGCTCAACGTGTTCATGTTGGACATTTCCCAGCAAGGATCTCATGCGTGAAACGAGGCAATTGCATACAGGATCCTCGACTGGAAGAAATGCAGTCTGAGAGCTTCGATCCATGGTATTGACGACATTTTTGCCGTCCGTGAGCACTCTCGACTGGGAGAAGAGGGGGTGTCTGCTCCAATAGACAATGATAAGTACTTGCATTTGGATTTTTTCTTCTCCAAGTCAGAAAATCATTTTTATGCTCACCCCAATTTTAGCAAGTATTGTATCTCCATCTCGTTGACGAAATTGTCGAGATAAATGACGAGCGGGTCAATAGACAATAGCTCTACAGTGTAAGTCTGTTGACACTTGTACGCAGAGACGTCGAGCACAGTCGTGGAATTTGCAGTTACCGGCCAATGAAAGTAGCTACCATTTTTGTCTGAAATCTTGTGGTAGATGACTGCGCTTGAAAATAGAATACCGAGTGACACAGACAGCACTGTTCTGCGCCAGCCGTCACGCACCACCATCGTGTCAGTTTATTCACAAAGATAGAATTCAACGAAGAAGAAAAGAAGCCAGTTAAGCTCAATCAAAGGGTAGCCTTTACGCAAAATTTATCCTTAAAATATGCGTATATAAATTCTCCGGGGCGAGTAGGGTTCTGCTAGCCCAACGCTCTTTGCAGACCGTCCTTGCCGACGAACTAATTAGGTAGACTTTTTGTTAAACCAGAAACTTCTCCACAATAGGCGCACCGCATTTGAGTGGCCATATATCCCCCTATATCATATACTACTCTCCATCACCATGTGTATGCGGGTTGGTGTGGCGCGACCATCGGGCTTCGCCTCTTCCCGCACCAACGCAACTAACACAAGCCCGCCCGCATTAACGTTTTGGATTGAACTCGGCCCAAGCAGGGAAAAACCTGAAAGAATCAGATACCATAGTGTCGTGTATCGTAGTTGGTCACTCGATCCACCTTGGAGTATTGCGCAAGTACATGACGGGCTTTTTCTGCTTAAAGGTTGATTAGAAACTAGTTGTTCAAACTGGATGCTTTCTGGCTGAGATTGCGGGGACGGGGCGAGGCGCAGTTGCCTAGGTGCCTATCGGTTTTGGCTGAGTTATACATGGCTGCAGTTTATTGATTGACTGCAGCATCCGTTATTGCCAAGGCATAGGAACTAAGGATGAGAAGCTGGACTAGGCCTGTGCTGTCGCTAAATTACTAGGGGACAGGACATGAGGACCTGGAGCCTACTCGTCAAGCAGGACAAAAATACGTGGTATGTTGGCCGGAAGGAATGGCCTTGAATGGCCGTAGCCCATGGTATGTAGCCAATTGACAAGCTTTTATGCGGACAAAAGTCCTTTAATAAAGAAAATCTGTACGCCTTGCATAACATAGTCAATTTCACCTTGCCGTTCAAACTCCGCCCCTAAAATAACACGACTGACTATAACGCGGTTTGATCTGCTAGCATGGCAGTGCTACAGACTTTTCGCACTCTTTTCTTTCACACCCTTTGGCTTTTTCATCGTAGCAATATAATTGTCAATGTCAAGTCCCACTTCCTTGTGCCAGACAAGCAACTTTTCATAGTTGATGCAGTATTTATTAATAGAACTGTTAAAGTAGAACTACCATTAGCTTTAAGCGCGACGTACGATGACCAAGTAAATAGAAGTACTCACAAGTCGGGGAACGGGTACTCTGCCCCTTCCCTCCAATTTCGAGTCACAAGATTCAGGTTATTACTTGGAAAAAATTAGCCAAGGCTCAAATCTCATTGGAATGTTGTCCTTGAGCCAGTGTACCTGCAAGATATATGCTGAAAGAGAATGTCCGCACAGTGGTTGAGGTGACCTTCCTCATGGCCCGCGCGGTTTTTAGCATCCACTGGCATACACGTGTTAATAGCAATAAAAACCAACAATATTTTCATACACTTACTGGAGATGTTGTAGTACGCTCCGTACGCGGCTCTCCTCAACGTATTCAAGCAGTGCAAATTGTGGAAAATGTCCAGGGCAGCGACGTATGCGTTGTCGCCCAAGCCCCAGTCCTTGTCTTCGAGCTTTGCAACAGTCTCTGGATCCTTGCCCATCATGATAATCTGCTCACGCGTGATGGGAATAGGTCTTAGCAAGTCGATGTCATCTTCCCATTGCGCATCGGCTTGTGTATTTGGAAATTGGCGGGCTATGCTTGGATTTTCTGGAAAAGACACAGTGCCATTGATACGCCGGATAGATGGTTCAAGGTCAATGAGCTCAAAGACGGGACCTTTGGTCTTGTCAGTAACAAGCACTCTTCCAACGTAACAGCGCTGCAAATTTTTTGCGAATGCCACTGGACTGGCAGACTACTTACTGTAGCTTGACGTGGCCCGTAGCTTTGCATTCAGAGCGCCATCGGGAGACTTGGTCTTCTCAGCGTACATTTTGACGCACATTGCTAGAGTCAAGAGAAACATGGTTATATTTCCGACTGCTAACAAGATCAATGCGCTGTGCCATCGCTTGCGTTTTGGGTCGTCACGCAGCGTGACAACTTCTCTGCAGCCTTCGAAGCTCTGCGGACTGGTTGGAACCGCGGAATACTGGTGACCATCATTTTTTCGCAAAGTGGCCATGTGTGATACTAATGGCATGCCAAAGTCAGTGATTACTCTTCTTTAATTCTGAAATTTGCGGCAGGTAAGCGGCGACATTCATGCCTGTGTAATGATAAGAAAAGACCGCGCGGTTTCGCGAAAAAAAAAAAGACGAAGTTGCGCTGTTCAATTCTCGGTACGCCTTACAGCAATAGATAGAGACTTTGCAGCAAAGTAGGATCTAATCAGGTACTCTTAATACTAGAACGAAGGCGATTAGACGTGAAAGCCCATATCACTGATAGGCAGGCGAGCTCGTAGACCTGCTCAAGTAATACAGAGGTGGGAACCACGCTATACCAGTCGTGCTGTAATGAATACTCCAAAAATACCACCATGTTCTTGTTTGCCTCTTGATAAAAAAGATCCCTATAGGTGGCTGGCAAGCCTTGCAGGACGAGGCTTCGATAAAACTAAGCCTAAAATTGAGAAGGTCTTATTACGGGAAGGCTATAGTAGATTCCGTACGATCGCTCTATTATATATTGCTGCAAAGCCAACCTCTTAAGCATAACAATCCGCTCGATAAGCCTGCCAAGTACTTCAATATAACGCGCCACGGCGTCGCAAAAGAGGTTAAATGCGCCGCTCCGTCCGTGATGCTTGAAAAAGCGACCAATAATGCCAACCCCACGGCTCTCCGAGCTGTCGGGCATTTTCCTCCTTGTCGAGAACTGAGGACGGTGAGGAAAGCAGCACGTCACTGAAAGGATTCTCTTTGGTGGCGGATCAATATGCGAAATGAGAAGTCACACGGTCCAGACAAGCCTCTATTGTAAGAGACGACAATCGTGGCTAGCTTTCACAGCCCAACCAGCGCAACACACGACACAGTTCTGCGCGTGGTACGCATAGCCACACTCTCAAAAGTTCCAGCAATAAAATATCATTATGAATATTCATAGTCATTGGTATGGGAAGGTCCATCAGCTATAAATTCCCTTGCGTTTCCGAGCAATCTATCTAGATTTCTTCAACTCACGTCAGAACAGACATCATCACAATATGAGAGCTTCCGTCATCATCACCCTCGCCGCTCAGGCGCTTTTTACAACTGCTGCTGCTGCAGTTGTTGCTCGCGTTCCCGTGGACGAGATATTGATTCGCGGAGATCCTCCACCTTACCGCCCGGCTCATGACAAGTAATGGTGCGTATACAGTGAGACGAGTTGCTTTCATGTTTTTTAACGTTGTTTTATCAGATGCCATTTTGATAATTTGATATCAGAGTTACCAATAAGGGTCAACTCTCTCACCTATTGCTTTTTTCTCTTGAGAGTTGCGGCTAGAATTCGATGGCCAGCCACCTATACCGAGCAATGGGTTGATCTCACGCCAGTATCTCCAACTCTATTTCGTTCCTTAGCAATATACTGTTCCCAAATCTTTCAGTAGTCTCATTCGTGATCCACCAAATGAAAATAAAGCTTAGATATAGGTCATCATAAGTGCGCGTAGTCTACACTAGTTGTTTGGACATTCTTTCCCTGGTCGTGTATAGCCGCGGCCAAAAGGTCATTCCCCTCGGACGTCCAGCCAAAACCGGCACGTTTTCGATTTCTTCCTTTCTTCAAATTGGCATTGAAGTTGAGTATCAGGTCCTTGAGAACCATGATTTGCACACTCACATGGAATGTTTGATTGCCGTGCCATTTTGAGAAGTCACAGTTGTGACCGTGAATGACCAATAGGAGCTGCCATGTTGCTCGCCACGTATGTGTGACTGATCCCGGCTCGTAGCACTAGTGAAATCAGTAATTGATCTACACGAAGGACCAATTAGATCATTGGGCCAAAGTACATTTGAATACGTTTGAAACGAGAGGAAGCTAGCCTATGTAGGCTGCCTCCATTGCATCGATACCATTGAGAATGGTAGCATTATTCTTTAAAGGCTTTACGAATGCAGTCCTTGGATTGATTTGATGGGGTACTTTGAAGAGTAGGCGTTTCCATGCCCTCATTGAAGATCCCTCCTAAATGAGAAGAGAAAGCTCCGCACTGGCTGGCGCCATCGAATCAACCAATAGAATAGGCATTTCGCCAGCCTTGATGTGCCAATGCCACCCAGGTTTCAAGTGACAAAACAAATACACCGCAAGAAGCCCCTGCAGTACAGGAAAGAGAGCATAACTGTAGCGCAACCAGTGGAGGCGTGGTGGATTCCCATGACCTACTCCGTAGCCAACGACCAATGATCCAACAGGATGGCATCGGTGGAAAGCGCCACGTCTTCCTGGCGGCTATAGACGATGCGAAGTTTTAGGGCTTAATGGGTATACCAAAGCAAGAATGTTCGGATACTTAATCATGCGACTCATCGGCCTCGATTGAGGCTCGCTGTATGACCTTGACAGAGGGGACAAGGTTGGACGTTGGACAGCAGCTAGCGAATGTTCATGGTCGCAGAAAGGAAGCGATTCCGCCTGACAAATTTGCGGCATCATGGCATGTTATTACAAAAAAAATAGAGCCAACTCGAGCTTTTGAATCCCCGACTAACCGTTCATTCCTTCGATCTAGTTCATTTCCAAACTAGTTTCTTCGCTCAACAATCTCGCGGTGACATTGCGGAACCCTGTCAAAGATCCTGGTAGCGCAACTACCATCGCACAAAATCATGCTGGCGAACACGTCGTACAAAGATCGAGTCCGAAACTCGACTTCGCCGAACAGGTGTCCGGCCCCCTTGGCCTGACCGTATTACATGAGCCATGTGACAAGCACTGCGCCGACATTATATTTGTACATGGTCTTAGCGGCTCGAGCTACAAGACGTGGTGTAAAGATCGCGCACCTGGCTCTTTTTGGCCTCAGGAGTGGCTTCCCCGCGACCAAGACTTACACAGCGCTCGAATCTTCACTTATGGTTACAACTCTAAGCTCAAGTCCCCAAAGAAAAGCCCCAATTTTGGCATTTCTACATTTGCGAGCGATTTACTCTTTGATCTTGTCTTTGGAAAAGGGACCAGCGGCCATGGCTTCCGGCTGGGGGAGGTACCTACCTGATTCATCCAAACGGCTGTCCGAGTACTTACGGCGGAGATAGGTTCCGATCATCTTTGTCGCTCACTCCATGGGCGGACTCGTAGTCAAAAAGGTGCTGCCAAATGTTTTCAGCCACTGCATGTATAGTACTGCTGACATGCACTACAAGGCCTATTTTGAAGCTGGTCTTGATGCGAGATTTCACCACATTGCCAGATCAACAAAGGCAGTTGTGTTTCTTTCAACACCGCATCGTGGATCACATTTAGCCACTCCCTTGCGAATACTTCTATCAATACTCTCACCATCAAATGCAAAGCAATACGTGGCCGAACTAGACGACAAAGGCTCCTTTCTACGAGAACTGAACGATCAATTCCGGCATGTTGCGGCTAATTTGCAGATCTTCTCGTTTTTTGAAGCTCTGAAAACGAGGCTGTCAGGCAAAATCTCTGCAGTATGCTTCGCTTGTGATTATGTATGGGGAGAAAAACTAATTGCTAACAGTTGATCGTGGACGGTAATTCTGCCAAGCTTGGGTATCCAGGTGAGGTCTGCCATTCCCTCGAGACAGACCATCAGGGTATGAGCAAATTTCGCAGTCCCCATGACCCGAACTACCTGGCTGTACTAGGTGTGTTAAAGCGCTTGGTCATTCCGTGTGAAGAACCATGTAGTCATTCGGATATTGGCAACAGACCTGAGACAACAGCAGTAGAAACTGTTGTCGATGGCTAAGTGCTACAGAAGGTCCGCGAGTTCTTCAACATGCCCGATGACATCGAGCACGGCATCTAGCATTTTGAGAGTCGTCGATCCCAGGAGACCTGTTTCGAAAGTCCTCAAAAGCAATACATCAAGTAAAGTTCATAAAGGTAATCAGGTCAAGGTGCCCTGGAACTATGGTCAGCAAGCGGGGCCCAAGTGTGTCATCGCTGCTTCTCTCTCGCGCCATACTCGCCAGCCTGGCACGGTGCGGTCGATCTTCAGCCGTAAAAACGGGAGGATCGCGGCTGCGAGGGCGCACCGAATAATGTTGGCAGCCGCTGAATCAGTGAAGTACTGATGAGTGTTGAGGTCGGTATTGAGGGCGTGAGGGCGCCGAGGGCATGGGTTGTTAGTTAGTATTCTTCGGCAGAAATTGAGTGATGGGCTGATGATGGGCAAAACTGTTGCGCAAAATCCGGTAAATATTTGCATGATCAAAGGACGCGCCACGTGATATGTCTGTCAGAGCTGGTCTTCGAAGGATGCGACAAGACTCACAATATTGGCGTGAAAGGCCCAGCCGAGGCCACAGGTAGCCACCAATGCAATGCTGACTCAAAAAGAGCTGCTGCAGAGGCGCGGGGTATCGAGCGAAAAGTCTGGGCCCGTCTTGGATTTGGCTTGTTCCAAAGTGATGCCGTTACGCTAAGTTATTCTTGTTGACCCCTCGAACTGTCGTGAGGGATATTACTGGAGAGGGAGAAGTTGCTTTATGTAACCAACATAGATGACTGACTAATGAAGGGCTTTTCTTCAAGCGATGAGGTTTATCGTCAAGCTTTTGTCAATTTATATTTATCGAACTTAGTTGTCTTTGATCATCTTTTCTGTTGCTCGCAAAAGTTCTCGACGTGCCGCTTGAAAGCTTGGAGGTAATTGTGAAACGTCGTCGTCGAGCACCATGCCACATGAGGAGTTACGACGAGATTGAGTCTGTCTGCTTCAGCTGCGTCCACCTTGAGCAGCGGACTGTCGCCCTCTTTCCAAAACTGTCCGGCGCCCGACGGCTCTCGCTGAAACACGTCTGATGCCGCGCCGCCAATGGAGCCGGCTCGCAGCGCTTCGAGAAGCGCACCCTCGTCGACGATGCCGCCTCGAGAGACATTAATCAGCAGAGCATGCTGCGACATGGCTTGCAATTCTGGTGCGGATATGAGACCCAGCGTTTCCGGACCACGCGGCACGCAGAGGACGAGCACGGAGCTCTGGGCGAGGACTTGTGTGAATGGCGCTCTGTCGGGGCTTGCTGGCGCGCCTTTTCGCGCTGCGATGAGGACTTTCATTCCCAGGGAACCACACAACTCGGCGATACGGCGACCTGTCACTCGAAATCTTGGTTTAGTAAATCATCACGACTACTTGTCCAGAACAGGCTTGAGGACTTACCAATTGCGCCATAGCCTACGATACCTACAACTTCTTCCTTACAGGTTATCGGAGGGTTGCCTTTAGGATCATTGAGTGCATAAGTCAAGGCATTCTTGGGCCATTCCTCGGTTCTCAGCACCGTGTTATGCAGCTGTACCAGGTGGCGACGCCCTGCAAAATACATGGCCAGGACGTGGTTCGCCACAGTCTCCGTGTTGGCATTGGGACAGTTGACCACTTTGATGCCTCGCGCCGCTGCCAGGTCTGTGTCGATGCAGTCTGTACCCACAGCAATAGCCACGATCAACTGAAGCCTCGGAGTGTTGGCGATGTCCAAGGTCGCGCCTTTTATCGGCGTGACTGTTGTAGCAATAATTGTTGCGTCCCGGACGGCATCTTGAATGGCTTCGGTGGATAAGAGCTGACTGGTATGGCTTGCAAGCTCGTAGGTGTGTGGTTCGCGGAGGTGAAGTAGGTCTTCTGGGATTGGGACATTCCAAGCGTCCAAAGCCACGATTTTGTGATGCATTGCAAGATTGATGCTCCGCAGCGAAGTTTTATACCGAACGTAGTGAAGAGAGGCACGACGTACAAGGGGTTGCTCATGATCTATTGGTCGTTTTATGGGTGACGCTGGTGACGCTGGTTGGTGTTATCCACTGTACTAATCGATGCAAGGGCGCGCCTGAGATGCGGAGGTGCGAGAGATGCGATGTCACCATGGCATTATTCGTCCGGTCGCTCTGTGAGCTGCTGGTAGCACGCGATCAGTTAGAAAGGCTGGAGTGAGCAATGGATCGGTAATAAGCTGGATTCTGCTCCGTAGGGCCACGGGCAGTCACTGGTCGCTGGCACGTAAAGACAGCCCGGACAGCTGGTTAACCTTCGATGTTGGCATTGTTGAAAAATGCCGACCTCCAAACCAAACATCAACTGATATGCGATGTGGAGTGCCGTACAAAGGAGACACTTCCAGCAGGACATGAAAACGAAATCATAGCACTTCCGACAGCTCCTTTGCGGATACAAACTCTGAGTGCGTTTGTGGTGAAGATGTGATGAAGGCTGCAAAACATGATTTTACCCCAGACCATATTGCGCGGGCGGCCAAAATGGGCCTGAAATTGTTTCCCAGACATGCTCCATGTCGCAGTTTTGGGTTCTGTGCTCCTTTCTGCCCGAATCCTGCTGGGGCGCGAGCCAGGTTCTCTCTCTTCATCGTTTGACATTTGTTGATAAATACCCTGTATCCGGCGATTACGTCGACTTCACTGGTAGACCGCGAAAGAACCACGAGAGAATCACAAGCGGGATGTAATCGATGACATTCTGAGAAGAGCTACTCATCCATAGACGTTCTACTATTGTTGTGGATGAGCTGGTTCGCTGAGAATCGCATGTACGAATTATTATAGCTCCGTCGAAATAGTTACGGGCTGATGGCAGATCCGCACAGCATACCTTCACAACATGGAGTGCAGTGCAGCTGCCGTCTTCATTAATTATCAAGAGTCTGCATAGTTATTCATATACGTTTTATACACAGTCCACTCAGCTTTCATAAGGCAATGCTTTGTGTGAATTCTTTGCACAGTCGCACAACTTTTCTTTTGCGACGGCCAAACTGGCGGTCTGGCAAATCGCCCATTCTAGCCGAAATCAAGGCATCCACAGTTGCTCAATTGACCCAATCACCATTTCGTGCTCACCCTCTCATTCGTTTTATTGGCAAATTTTTTCGTTTGTGTTACCAGCCGCGCAGGCAACCCTGCGGCTGGCATTGCTGCCTGCTGCGCAAGCGGGTCCGTGTCACCTCAGATTCTGCCACTCGACCCTCACCGCCCAACGCACAACTTCTATATAACTGCGAGCTGCCGCCACATCTTTTGGACTTTTTTTTCTTTCTTCTTTAGCTCTCTTTGCCTATTGGCTTAGATCAAGTGTAGTATCTGTTCTTTTCAGTTTAATCTCTGAAAGGTCTCTACTGAGACCGTTCTATGATTATTCCTATTTTTGGCCACTGGAAGGTTTCCTCTGTGCTTGCACATGATTCCTTCCACAGTGTTCCTGGTATTACACTGCCTCCAGGTAACGCGAACCACCAAATATTCGTTTTTCTTTTCATTGCTGGCGTTTGGCTTGTCCAACGTGGTGAAGAAGAGTCGTCCGTAGTCGGGATCCATGGTTTATTGAGTCATTGAGCCAAGCGCCGGGCGCATGTCTGTCGTAAATTGTGTGCAAATTTGATCCTGATAATGTGCACGGCGAAGCCTTGCCTCGCCAGTCCCTGTTTGTGCTCGTAGCTGCGTAAAGGCAATCCAAATTCAATCTATCTACTACGTCGAAAGAGTGTTTTCAGCGAAAAGACTCCTAGAGAGCAAGCTCCAACTGTTCATTGCCTGCATCTTTATTGCGTTGCATCCATCCAGCTGGTTTGCGCCTCCACTGCCGTCTGCTAGAAAAAGCTCCCCCCACTGCCACTGGGAACGCCTTTTAAGCAGCACCGCGACGACTGAGTATCCTGCACGCGACGTCGGCCTTCGACACTAATTGGAGCTCGGAATACACACGATGGCGTCTCTAGGAAGCTACCTTAACAGTGAGTCCTGCTGTCACAGTCCCCGCGCCACGCGTTGTCAAGCTTCCCCGGCGAGACTGAGCTCAGGCTAACCTTTCGGCCTCTAGAAAAGGTCCTCATCGTCACGGCCGACTCGCGGATTCTGGTAGGCATATTAACGGCCTGCGACAACTCTACAAATATAGTACGTTGACCCCACGTGTCGACGCGCGCCTGGCCGCGCAAATCTCTGCTGTTGGGAGCCCGCGGGGAGGCGACGGCGGCTAAGGCGGATCGATCTTGCTAACTCTGTCTCGTTCAGGTACTCAGCAATGCCGTCGAGCGAATCATTCGAACGCCAGACGACCCCGAATCGTCAGCGATAGATCCCCTCGGGGTATACATTGTGCGCGGCGACAACGTGTGCTCTATAGGGCTGGTGGACGAGAAGCTGGACGACAGCATCAACTGGACAGAGGTCAAGGGGTCGGTGATAGGTGGCATCAAGCACATCTAGTCCAACGACTGCAACGCGCGTCAAACAGCGACACCGCGCTGTACTCGTCGGGGGCCTGCTGTTTGGCCACGCTTGCCCTGAGCAGCGCTACCGCTGCTGTGCGGCTAGGGCAATCTCTACATTTTCTACTTGGCATCTTCCCTGCTGCCACAACTGCCGTTAGCTCTGCTTTTACTCGCGCGCAAAAAAGGATTCGGCGTTTTTTATCTGGATGGTTCAGCAATCATGGTACGATTACGCAATTCACACATACAAACACAAACAAACACTTCAAGAATTCATACCAAAAGACTCTGCGGTTCGAAGCGTGTTACAGACTTGAAAAGAAAATTGTCTCGTAGACTTCTATCATCTATGTACTCGTCTCCTCACTTACATTGGCAGGTCAAAGAGCCGCTGGAGTAGAACCTCCTTGAAAATTTCTTCGCCAGGCGTCTTCACAAGGCGGTAGATGCGGTTGCCCTTGAGAACGCTCAGCCAGCCTAATTCATCTCCCTCGACGGCATCCAGCTTGATCACCTCGGGGTCGTTGCGTGGATCGACCGACGCGAGAAACGCAGCCTCGGCGGGCCGCAGCTTGCCGCGGTGGTCGACAATGTGCATACCGCGCGACCACTGGCCCCCAGTCTCGATTCGAATATCCTCGGCCGCCGTCAGCTGCCAGGCGGGGTCGTCGCCGGCAAGCTTGTACCAAACGGTCATGGGGTCGTGGAGCGAGAGGCCGGCCTGGGTGTCCGGACCGAGGATGCTCACAATCTTGGCAAACGCGCCGTCGACAAAGTGGTGCACCCATGCGGCCAGCGGGCTACCGGAGCGCACGACCGGCGCCACGGTCTCGGCAAAGTACTTACTCGTCAGCTCGTGCGACTCCGTCACGTCGAGCGGACAGAGCACGACGCGCAGCGGCCGCGACAGCCTCTCTGGGTACGGCGGCAGCGCGCGGTTGATGGTGGGCGGGGGCATCGTCGCTGACGGCGTGAGCGAGCTGAGGGCAAAGACGCGTGCCGTGGCCACGGCATCGGCGTACGTGTTAAATTCAGCGACGGGGGTAATGTTGCCCTGCACCTTGACGGCGCCGCCCATAACGACGACCTCCTTAGCGCGGAGAAAGGTCTCGGGGTCCTCGGACGCGGCGAGTGCCACATTGGTCATGGGGCCGACAGTGAGTATGGAGATGCTATCGACGGGGTTCTCCCGAAGAAGGCGCAGCATCTCCTTGTGCGCGAGCTCGCGCGAGGGCGTGAAGAGGGGTGAGATCTTTTCTAGGTCCGTCACGGAAGAGCCCTGCTCTCGGAAGATGTGTAGCCACTTCTCGGGAGGGCTGAAGTCAGGAAATGTGGCGTGGACATCGTGAAGACCATCCAGACCATCTTGATATAATTTGTTAGTTCTGAAGATGATGTACTACATCAACGCTCTCCTTGGAACGACTTACGGAAGTGGTCAAACTTGAGATCCTTCTCTTCAAGAGGATGCTCTGCGCCGAGAGCAACCAACGGCTTACATGCCTTGAGGGCCTCGAAACCTTCGGGACGGCCGTTGGCTTTGCGCCAGGCCATTTCCTTTTCAATGACCTGCATCATGCCAACGACATTGCGGCCGCAGCTGAATTCTTATCAACAGTGTTGCGCGGAGACGGGGTTGAGAAGCAAAGACTCACCAGTCAAGAGGAACGTTGCCATAAGTGACGGAAATCATAACAACTTCAAGTTCCTCCTTCTTGGCGCTGAGAGCCAACAGCATAGCCATGACATCGTCCACGCCTACGGTGACGGTTAGTTGGGTCAAGTGGTTGAGGTGTATGGACACTGCTCACCAGGATCGGTGTCGATAATGATCTTTCGGGGAGCCATGATGCCGGATGGGTACGAAAGCGATAGTACAAGGCAAGCAAAAGCCGAGAGCAAGCAACTATAAAAATGAAGATTGTCGAAGAGCAGAAGTATGACTCCAAAATGTCAAGCCAACGGCCCACGGAAAAGGCTGTGGAGAGACCCCGCAGTCGTGTGCTCCTCGATAAGCAAGAGTTGTAGCGCTGGAACACCAGTTCCGATCAATAGTGGCAAACTAGTACATGCAAATGACAGCCTACTTGGGACGATTTCTAGATACAGCGCAGACGGCTACTTTTGTAGTTGGTGCAAGGAATCAAGCCAAAGCACCAGACGGGATGCCTCTGCTCAGACACATTTTGCTGGTGGTGGGGTTGCGGCGCAATCTCGCTTTTGTCACAGGCGCCGCCACGACTTAAGCTCCGCGGGCGTCTCCGGCCGGCACTGTGTCAAGATTTCACGATTTTTCAAGTGAAGCGAACAGAAATATACAAACTTGGCTCGGAATCGAGACGCCTTGGAGACTTATGGGCACTCGTTCCAGGCAGGCTGGGGCGCGCTGCTGTGTGCGCGAACCGCGAGAGAATGGTCCTCTGCGCGACGATGCTAATAATAGGAGACTCGGGCTTTGAAAGGCGATTAGCTCGATAATCTCGTGGCTTAAGAGGCTGCTCTCTGGCCCGGGCTCGACTCTATGTGATAGGTATGATAGGCGACTCGTCCTTTTGATTCGGCCTCGCCTTCTACCGGAGTCAAGGAGTTAGCTTTGGCGAATGAGCTGCGAGGTATGCATATCTGTCTGCACGAACCTTGAGACTCCAAAGTTAAACTCCACATAACAAGCCGTGTAACTGGTCGTCAGGTGCTAGTAACGAATGTCGTATCGCATTAAAGCTCTGAAATCTGTCCATGTTCTGCGGAAGCTGCTCCGATTTCTCTCTTGAACATGACAGCGCTTCCAACTATTCAACGGGCTACACCGTTTCGGAGGGAAAAGTTTGTCACATTCTCTGCGCTTGTGAGCCACTTCATTGCGTCGGAAACTGATTGAGAAGGTGGCATGATGCTGGAAAAGAAGCGCGCGACTTTGTCCACGGCGGCAAGGGAGGCGTCGGCAAGATGATTTTCGTGATTCAGAGGCGTCGTCTATCAACCCACAGGTGCTGGACTCAGCCTGTTGGCTTGGTGCGTCTCGAGGGACGAGGCTGTACGGTGGCGTGATATCATTGAGCCTCTGCAAGTTTGAGGACCGACCAAAATTGACTCCTGGGCAACAGCTACTGAGCTTGGTCGTCTCAGTAGTGCATTTGTGAAGCAAGTCGGGGATGGCCACATCAAGGGTGGCGATGAATTGTGCAGGTACAGAGCACGTTAAAGATCAGTAGAAATCTTTCTACCAATAACTACCTACCTAGGTATGTTCTGCTCCGTACCAGGTAGGTGATTAGGTAGGTACTGGAGGCACCGAGACTCGAGGTCGACTGATGCCCCGCTTTCCCCTGAAACGAAAGAGGTCAATTATTACGAACTGAAAGACTTATTGAATAAAGAAGCCACATATGATAAGAGAGGCGTCTTTTCTTGAGAGCCACTCGGCAGTCGAACAGCTGAGTCAGTGCAATTAATTGCGTGGATGGAAAGCTTGTGGACATGTGTCCTGGCATTGTGTTTCGCACTGATCGATAGGATGCTCGCCTTGATACTAATGGCCAGCGCTTCCATCAAAATGTAAATAGACTTCAATAAAAGAGACAGGAAGCGTTTGTGAATGCAAACCTCTGCTAGTTTTACTTGTCCCTGAGCAGCAGCCCCTTTACGCGTTGACTTGTTCAAATCCTGCGTGGCTTAGAGTTGGCCAAATTCGGCTTAGTGGCCTGGCTGGCTGTCTCGGTTGGCGACGTTGCCAGAACGCTGTAACCACACACAACTCACCTTGGCTTGTTGGCACGGAGTTGTTCTCGAGCCACCTTTCGTCCCGTTGAACCATCGCATTTTTTTCTTCATCCTATTCAATCCCCTGCCATCGTCCCCTTTATCCCGGTCCCTTATCCGATCTTTCTCTTATCAACTCTTTTTTCTTGTCCCCCTTTCCTTGGTCTGCCCCCCCCTGCTCTTCTCCTTGTGGGATTATCCAGACAGGTGGCCACGTATCACTTCAATCCCGCCATTGATCGACAGCGCGCAACCTCGCCTGGCCATCATCGACTAGAGCATCTGCATCGACCGGCCACCGCTGCCATCCCTTACATAGCTGCATTGAATTGTGTGCCGACCGGCTCGACGACGACAACGGCTCAGAAATCAGTGCCGAGTCGTACACCTAGACGCTAGTCCCGTCATCGCATCCTCCTCGCTTCCACCATTCGCCCCGACATAAACAACCGCCGCCATGGCTGACTCTGGGATGAGTCTTGTCTATACGATTGGAGGTTATGCTGCCCTCGCTGGCGCCGGCTACACCATTTATCATCTTTCCACCAGGTCTGATGCCAAGAGGCGAGCTGCCGCTGCAAAGGCCAAGGCCTCTCAGCCCGAAGCCCGCAAGGAAGACAGAAAGAAGAAGCAACGCAAGGATGCTTTTGCGCAAGAGGTGCAGTCTGCCTCCAACGCTGCACAGAATGCTCCCCGCGAGGTCAAGGCGCCTCAGGCCAGCACGACTACCGGCCGCGACACCATGGACGACTCCGCCGCCAACCGCGAGTTTGCCAAGCAGCTCTCCAAAGCACAGGAGGGTACCAAATTTGCCGCCAAATCTGACGCCAAACAGCGCGAGAAGTATGTCAAGCAGTCCAAGGCCAGCCACATTGATGGTGCCAAGCCCCCCAAGGCCGCTAAAGCCGAGACTCCTGTCCCTGCCGCCGCCCCTATTGAGCCCGAGACAGTCGCCAATGTAGTAGAGCCGGTCAAGGAAGAGACTCCCACTGTGCCTGCTGAGGCTGGCCGTGTCGACGATATGCTCGAGCCCAAGGCCGCTGCCCCCACTGTTCTGCGCCTTAGCGAGTCCAAGCCTACCGAGCAGAAGAAGAAGGAGAGCAAGCCCGCCGAGAAGGCCGAGACCAAAAAGCAGCGCCAGAACAGAAAGAAGGCCGAAGCCGCCAAGGCTGCTCGTGAGGAGGCTGAGGCTGAGCGCAAGGCTCTTGAGGAGAAGCAGCGTCGTCAGGCTCGTCTCGCGGAAGGCCGCGCTGCCAAGGACGGCTCCCAGTTTACCAATGGCGCCGCTGCCGCATGGAAGCAGGGTGCTTCCAGTGTTGCTCCCAATGCTGCTCCCAAGACTAATGGTGAACTCCACGCGCCTCTTGACACCTTTGAGCCCACCTCTGCCCCGACCACGCAGACCAACGGCGCTGCCAACGCTGCGCCTGCTGCCTTCGATCAACCTGCACAGCAGGAAGAGGAGGAGTGGAGCACCGTCAAGACTAAGAGCTCCAAGAAGAAGGCGGCTGCCGCCAGCAACTCGGGCGATGATGAGCCTCTCGCTGCCCCCAAGGCTACTTCCGCTGCCCCCTCTGTAAGCAAGCAAGCCGCGCCCAAGACCAACGGCAACAGTGCCAACAACAAGAAGGCATTTGGTGGCTCGTTCTCTGCCCTGACGAACAACGACGAGCCGGAGGAGGAAGAGGAAGAGGAGTGGGATGTCTAAAGCCGCAGCCTCGCGCAATGGACGCTTCCTACGTGCCACCACTCAAGGCGTCAGCTAGGAGAGGACGAGGATGAAAAACGAAAAGCACAAAAAAAATCACTACGAAGCAAAAGCCTCCACGCAAATCGTTTCTTGTATCATATTCAGTGGTATCGGCAACGCCACTGTTGTTACCGCCACTTTCCTTTTTTTGCACCATATCTTTTTCTTCAACACTTTGATATTGAATTACCAGCATGGATGGCGTCGATGGTGGAAAATGGAACCGCCATGGACTAAACTAAAACAGCAGGAGAAAACCAGCCCGACTATGAGCCCGGGTACGTAGCGTCGAAAACCAAACGTGGTGATGAGAGAGGTGGCAGACATGGTCGGCCCTGCAAGAATACAGCATATTGACAGCTGGCAGAAGAGATATCTAGTGTGACGACTATGCAACAAAAAGTAACACGGATTTCACAAAATGGGAGAGGTGTGGCAAAGGCAAAAGATTGATTAGTTTGTGTGCAATTGTATGTGTGTGTATCTATCATTATCGTGTCGAGCCATAGCAGGCACGCTCAGGTAAATCTGCCTACAGATGGCGTCTAAATAAAAGAATTTGAAAAACTTGTTGGGACCCAGTGAGAATTTGCATGATCAATGAATGATGGTGAATAGCGTGCATGGTGTCGTTTGAGGTCGGGTGCAGTGGGTGACCATGTGTCAAAGATCATGTGGCCTCTGCAGTTGGGTTGAGTTGTTGAAACGGTGAGCTGGCTACAACTTCCGAACTATGCGAGTTCCCTATCACAGGTCGATCTGATACCGAGCCGCGGCAAACCGCGGGAGGGGTGGTGGTGTTTAGGTGTGGACACTGAAGGAGTGGCATCGCGCAGGGCATCATTATGTGTGTTGGGCGGCAAAGGACGGTAACGTGGCGCGACCCAAATCATGGTACAGAATCTCATCATGTGCGGCTTCAAGGGGGTGTCGATGGCGGACATTCTGCAGGGGTCGGGATTGTGGCTTCTTCGTTTTGCCTTGTTCGGACAGCATCGGCATCGGCATCGGCGACAGAGAAGGATGAATCACTCGGTCCACTGTCAAGACTAATATGCTGTTGCAGAGCTCGAGTCAAGGCCTATTGCGCGTGCCCTTGTTCGTGGCCGGGGGGTTGAAACGCAATACTGCATCCGGCGTACTGAGTAGAACCTGGTTTCTTCCGTGACGATGCCTAAAAACCCTCCTTTTGAAAAGACAAAACCGGCCACGCCAAGAATTGATACTTGGCTCTTCATCGGAAAACTCTGTTATCATTTGCAGCTAATTAGCAGCGTCTGTACATAAGCAGCACACACCTGACACTAAAACGCTGCAGTTGGAAAACCTTTTGCATTTGGGTACAAGAGAGGGCGGGTGGGTGTGTGTGGAGCGCCACACCGTGCCGTGTTTGCGATGACAAGCCGTCCGTCGTTAGGCCGGATGGTTCACGGAAAGGAGGTTAAAAAGACATGCGGCGGGGTAGTGAGAGGATTTCTGTCTAAGCGAGGTTGATGCTGGGCCGCATGTGGTGTTGTGCGACTTTTCGCGATTTACATGTGGTTGTCCATCATATCCGTGTTACTTTTAGTGGTCGATCCGTCGATGGTGGGAGGGGGGACGAGATGGACAACGTCATGATTCCGGTTGAACGGATAGGCGGAGGAGGGGGAGGGGAAAGGGAAACGGGGGAAAGAAACGGAAAGAGAGACAATCAAATGTTTGCCATCGACTGCAAAAGATTCTATTTGCTCTGCAATGGTTTAATTGATTTGCGGAGAAGTGGGATTGACGTGGCTTTTCTGTGGAAAGGCGCGTTTTTGGGGCAGGCAAAGCAAGCTGGGGCCGGTTACAGGTATGACAGAGGTGCCGCAAGGGACCCTTTTTTTTTTTTTTTTTTTTCTTGCGCTGTTTATCGATTGCTTTTATTACGTCTCCCGACAGGGGTGAGAGGGGTCGTCTGGAGAAGGGAGAGGGAGATCTTGGAGCAAGAAGAGGGCTCACTTGGTTAGGCGCGCATTGATGCCCAGAATAGACTGACTGGTTTGAAACGTGTATCTAATAAATGCAGTCGCGCGCGTCGGTTTCAATGCCAGCGAGGCAGTGTGAGGTGACGCTGAGGGCGGGATGAAGGAAAGGGAAAGAGGTTGTACCAGATTTCAAGAGGCGCAGGGTCTCTGCGGTTTGACAGCAAATGACGGCTGCCTTGGAGGGGAGGGGCCTGTCGGTGGTGGGCTGTGCATACGAATAATAAGCAGCGTTGATAGGGGTCAATTCGCGACAGGAAGTGAGCACGTAAAGAGTGAAAGAAAAAAGAGACCAAGACAAGATCAATTAGGTAGATGATTATTACATTTGGTCTGCGTCGTGCTTTGCGGTAGCGACTGAAGGTTCATGCCATTGTTACCTAGGAAGCCAAGTCTGGCCTCGCCGCCTCGTACGTAACCACCCCAAAAACCACTAAGAAAAGTCGCTAGCTGCCCCTCCAGGTGGTGGTTGGACAGGCCTTTTTCAGGGACTATGGGAGAGTCCCCCAGACACGCCCCTCCGTGGTCGTCCACTAGTTAGTTAGGCCACCAACCACTGGCCACTGTACCAGTAGTTTGCGGGCCGGTCCCCTTCCTAGGTACCTACCTAGGCAAATACTAAAGGGAGGCACTGTCCAGCGCTCCTTCCACCTCTAAGAGTCCCCCCTGCACCCCTGGCGACCCAATTCCTTCCTGAGGTGTCGCTTTCGCGCGTCTTCGTTCTCGTCTCGACTTCCCCTGTCCTCCCATTCAACCACATGCACTCTTCACTTGTTCTTTCCATTCCATCGGTTCCATTCACTTTAGCTTCTCTTTTTTCTTCGAATTTGCTCTGCTTGCTACTATTTTCTTTGTTCCCCGCTTAATTTTTCTTTCGTCGCTGTCTTCACGCCAGAATCCGACGCTCACGTAGAGCACACGACTGTCAGTGTTTCTTAAACACAGGCAACTAACACAGATAATTCCCGCGACTCGATCAATCAGCCGCCATGTCGTTTCCAGTCGCTCTTCAGTCCGCCGTCTTTTACATACTTTCTTGCACACCATGTCTCAAGGTCCGCCATCGCCACCGCGCCCGCGAAATCGCCAAAAAGGATCGCGAGAAGGCCACGAAGCTCGAGACCGCTCAACCCGGGAAATACCAGCATCCTCCCCCTTTCTCTACAAACCCTTACTGGAAGTCTGAAATCGACATGGGGCCCAGTCTACCCAAGAAGACCTCCAGCAAAAATTCGAGCTCTCGCGGCCTCACGAGCTCCGGCCGCGATTCCTGCAACCCCTCCGTCTCGGAGCGCACAAACGTCGACGACAGCAGAACCAATGTCGATAGCCTCAGCGTACTACGCGAAGAAGAAAACGGCACCCCACCAGATTGGAATCGCAAAATAGGATATCAGCGAGAAGACGAAGATCTATGGGGCCAATGGTCGGCGCAGAAGTTGAAGGACGCTATTAACAGGGCTCGCGACTCGGCCGGTCGACTTATCGATTCGACTCTCGGCCTTGAAAAAGAGGTTACGGACCAAGAACGACGAAATTTCTACACAACCCCTCGCAACCCCCCTGTCAACGATTACCATCCTCCCGTCATCAGCAGCAGGCCTGCCCACAAAGACGGCTACAAATGGATGCTGCAGCCACCACCTCCCGCCAAAGTCATGGAGGGCAAGATCCCCGTTAGCAGAGCCAACAGCTCCGGTAGCAAGTCCAGCGGACGCACTCTGGTCGCAAACGACCCCTACCTCGACAAAATCGTCAAGGACAAGCTGGCCATAGAACGGGCACGCAAGGGCTCCGCCGCGCCTACCGAGGACGAGCTAATCGAGGCCCTTTTTGCCACGCGCATCAACACGAGCAACCGCGCAAAGAGCCTGTCGTATGGGTGGGAATTCGACGATAAGTCCGACGGGAGCCCGCTTCACAGCGTTCGCTCCAAGCCAGCGTCTGCCTATCTTGGCAAGAACCCCGCCATGGCCGACGACGAAGACGATGATTTCGACGAGACGTACTCATTTAACTCGGACGACGACGATCCCTACGACCTGGGCAAATTTAGAGACATTCCTCAGCACGTCATCGACTACCATGCCAACAAAGGCTGGCGCCCCAAGCTTGAGACTATTCGCAGCATAAGGATTAGCAAACCTCCCCAGAAGCGCCCAATGACGAGAAAGCAAATGCTTCACAAGTCGCGCAAGCTCACCATGCTCAAGGTGACTAGTGGTTCTCCAGTCGGTGACGACACTGAGTAAATATATGCAAGGCGAGAAGAACACACCCCCTCTTCCTCCCTTTTCCTCCTACCGACCTATGCTGGATTGATATCCAGCCTGCACATTCACACATTCACACTCATTCTTTCCTTTTTCTCTCTCTTCTCTTTTCTTCTTTTTTTCAAAAAGCATATTGAGCGACCACGGAGTCTTGTCCTTTTGGTCTTGTTTTTCCGCTACAGCATATGGATACAAATGGGGTTTACGGGCATGCGCGCAACTTTTCTTATTGTTTTGACTGGTTTGGTGTTTTATCCTGGGTGTTTGGGTTTCGGTTCAGATTGGGTTGGTTTTGGTTGATTTCGGCTTCTTTGACAGCCTTGGTGCCACGGTGGTTTTCACTTGTTTTGATGGGCTTGGCCTTTTGGAATTTTTTTTCTTTTTTTGGTTCTCTTGGCCTTGTTAGGCTCTTTGGTTCCTTTGACCGTGCTGGTCTTTTGATCGTTTTGATACAACATTCATAAATTCAATGAAGTTCACTTTGTTCTCAACAACAAATGAAACCAGCAACTCCTGTGATAAATGCAAATAAAACGCCGACAATTTTGTAATTGATGCCTCTTCAGAGGTGCAACCCGCCATCCTCATCCTCGTCAGTCGTCATCTGCCGCATCCGCTCCTCCATGGCCGCCCTCAGCTGCTCGTCCGAGAGACTGCCGCCCGCGCCTCCTCCATTCGCTGCCCTCGCACCCGGCACCGGGTCCATGTGTACCTCGCCGTTCCGTATCGTGCCCGTCTGAAACGTACCATCCGTCCACGGCGACGACTCTACGCCGTTGACCTGCGCCGCTATCCCCGTCACCTCTCCCTCTGCTTCCTGCTGCTGCTGCTGCTGCTGCCGCCGCCCCTGCGCTTCTTGTTCCTGCTGCTGTTGCTGCCCACTCGCCAAACGCCCCTCCTCCCTCGCAAGTGTCTCTATCTGCGCCTTGTCCTCAAAATCTTGCCACGACACGCCGCGGACGTCTTCCACTTCTACCCGGATCAGCGCGATGCGTTCGGCCATGCGCTCGATGACGGCTTCGTTTTCGCGAATGGCGTCGACGCAGACGGCATCGGCGCCGCCGTCATTGTCGTCGGCGGCAAAGGGTCGGAGCTGGTCGTTGGAGTATTGTAAATGGGCAATGGAGTTGCGAATTTCGAGGACTTTGAGGGCGAGGAGCGGAAGAGAGAGAGAGGGGAGGGCGGCGGCGAAGCGCTCGGCGGAGATGGGTGTCGTGTCGGCAGAGGACATTGCTGGGGGGTTTTTGGTTTTTGACGTGTATGTGTGTGTGTGTGTGTGTGTGTGTGGAAGAGGGAGAAAGAAAGAAAAAAAGGAAAGCAGTATTGAGCTGATGTGTGAGAGTTGAGGGAGAGAAGTTGTTGGGAGATGGATCGGATCAGCAAGAGGTGGAAAAAGTTGGAGAGCAGGCAGATCCCAAGGTTACGTAGGAGGGGCAAAAAAGCTATGGTGGGGGTTCAGCAAATTGTACGCTGGTTCCTTGCCTGGCACCTGGGTGACAACATCTCCAACGATGTGATTTCCGTAGAGATTTTTTGATACGGAAGAAATTGGAGTGTAAGCAGTATCATGTGATGAATCTGATGAATCTACCACAAAGTATCTTCTCGTCTCACGATTTTGCGCTTTCTAGTACAAGAGTGTGTGCTCTGGCTCAACGTCATTTGTACCATGCTCGAGATCATCTGCAGGGCCTACTTCTGCCAGGCTGTGGCCACTTTCACTCTCATAGCAAGGAAAACGGTTCGCATAGCGTAAAACATTCGCTTTTCTGTTCATTACTCACTGATATATACAAAAACAATTTCGCTAGCAGTTTCGCTCAATTTATTTCACCAGCAGCCGCACTCGATTTACCAGCGCGTCTTTAGAGACAGCCATAGACAACAGCCAGTTATTCTCGTCGCCTCGTCTCCGGAAATTCCAACGAAATTTTCATTGATCTGGAATATTTCTGTTTCGTAGAGCAAGTCTCCTTTGCTGAAAATTTCTGGTTCCTATCTTAAGAATTCTGGGTGGCATTGGGTTCTTGAACAGTGCCTCGGGTTCCCTCAGCAATCGCAGGTAAAATCTTGTGAACAGATCGTACATCCTCGGAATTAACAGTCGCATCAACTTGTTGCTGTCAGCGTACAAGACTGCGAGGCACATGGCGCTCGGCAGGAAGAAGGTCTCGTACGTCGCCGCGAAGCGCTCGCGCTGGCTAAGCAGTGAATACTGAAACAAGTCCATGTCGAGCAGCACGCGATGCACACTATTGCCAATACTGCCCGTCATGACCACGCCCAGGGCGCGGATGGCCAAGGAAACTGGCAAGAAGCGGCTGGCAATCATGTTTTTGCGCACCACTTCGCCGAGGTCGCGACCGAAGAAGTCGACTCCGCGTGCGTGGCGAGCCATGCGCGCGGCGTCGGCGTGTATCCGATAGAAGAAGATGGGCAAGATGCTGAGAAGGCGGACCGCGAGATAAATGATGCAAGTGCGGTCAACGTTCAAACGAAGCCAGAGGTAATCGTATATGCGATAGATAATGTATGGGACGATGCGCAAGAACTTTGATAAGAACTTTGATAAGGACCGGGCGAAGACGCGTCGGACGCATCGCCCAGATAAACGAGGCTGGCGATAGGGCATGGATGCTGGTAAGAAATAAAGCTGGATGAATGATTTGCTGAGTGAGAGAATGGTGTTATTGCGAGGTAAGAGTGTCTTGAGATGAAGTTCAATGATGATTGCAATGGTCGATAACAGTTATCCAGCTCGAGTAGTTGTTGGGCTACGCAAGTGGGCAGGCACGAAGCCCGTCCTAATTCTTGGATTGTCAAGAGCTACCTACCAAGACTGGAGTGAAACATGAAGCGAAAGGCTCCTATCAACACAACTTTGAGCCTATTTAATCTAGATGTGAACCGATTTTCGGTTACCTATCTCGTCTATTACCTCGTGTAAGTGCCCAGGCAAGACAGACATCAGGGCTCGGGTTTATGCAAACAGCTCGCGTACAATTTTTGGCGACATGCTTATTCATAACTTTTCAGCGAGTTATATCAACATATAATCAAACTCAGGGCCATAATATGGAAATAATGCACATTGACGCAACCATGCTGCTCTTCTTCGACCGGCTGACTCATCATGAAGCTGCCCCAATTGCCAGGCTCCTGTCTCCAAAAAATTTCCAGTCGAGAGCTTCCACGTCCCAGACACCTCTCGTTCTTGCACAACCAATCCTCCCTTTTCAAAACCACATCACCCAACATGCTTTCCTTTCGCACCCTCGCGCGCTCCGCGCCCCGCAGCATTGGCCGCCTGGCCACGGCCTCGATGCGCCAGGGCCTGGTCGCCCGTCCCCTCGCCGCTAGCTTGGCCAAGAGCGGCACGGTCTCTGGCTTCCAGATGATGCGCGCCGCCGGCGCCGCCAGCTTCTCCACGACGGCTGGCCGCCGGGCCGCCGCCGACGGCGAGACGGACGATGAGCTGTCGGCCAAGATTGAGAGCGAGTTGCAGATTGAGGAGGAGATGAAGGCCAGCGAGCAGGAGCCGGCGAGCGTCAAGGACTTTATCGACAACAGCCCCTTTGAGCTGATTGACACGGCTGGCCAGGAAGTGGTCAAGCTGGTCCGCGAGTTTGGCGATGAAAAGTGCGTGCCCGATTCCCGACAAGCATTGTCATTACTCCTCGCGTGTGTCACGCCATACTAACACGACTCCCAAGAATCACCATTTCCTTTTCCATTGCCGACATCAACAACTTTGATCCCTACTCGGACGAGTCCGCTCTCGAGGATGACGCGCTCGGTGACGACCTGCAGGCCGCCGAGAGCGGCAAGGGCCGCAGCCAAGACGTCGAGGCCGACGCCGACGAGGCTGGCGAGCTCGACGAGGAGACGCCCGCGCCCATCTCCCTCTCCATCATCATCGAGAAGCCCGCCAAGAACGGCGGCGCGCTCAGCATCGACGCCACCGCCCAGGACGGCAACATTGTCGTCGACAACCTCTTTTACTATGCCGACGCCAAGCTCGCCCGGCTCGATAGCCCCGAGGCCGCCCAGCAGCGCGCCGACGTCTACCCCGGCCCGCCCTTTGGCAGCCTCGACGAGGACCTCCAGGTGCTCATTGAGCGCTACCTCGAGGAGCGCGGCATCACGCAGGCGCTCGCCGTCTTTGTGCCCGACTACGTCGACCTCAAGGAGCAGAATGAGTACCTGAGGTGGCTCGGCAACGTCAAGGGCTTCATTGACGCATAAGATGCGAGCTTGGTCTTGACTTGTGATTGTTTCCAGCAGGGGACAGTAAGTAATATGTTCAGCGTGGAACAGAAGAAAGAGAGGACGCTTTTTGATAACTCTTTTGTTATTTCTTCACTCTTTGTAACTTGTACAATATGAAAAATCAAAATTAGTGGGCGATTCTGTAAGAGATATGGGATTATGGCTATCTTAGCGAATTGATAATGGCGGTGCGAAGCATCAATGACCTCTAAACCATCTTCCTCCACATTTAGCTGTACCAGTCAGTGTAGGCCGCAGAGAATGCCGATGCCGTCAGGGGGAAGAGAATAGTAAAATACACGGCCGTGTCACATGAGACATGCTGTTCCAAAGTATCATTTCTGTCTAAAAGGTGCTTGTATGGAAATAATCCTCGCCACCCAAAAAACACACAGAAATAAGAGAAGCAAAAATCAAGGGCTTGAAAAAGCAAGACCTTGAAAAAAACAGAGCAAAAGAGTCAAATGTTCATCTATCCCAAAAAAAGAATATTGGATCCACAAAGATATGCGGTCCCGTATGCAAAACAAGTAAAACGACGTAAAAAGAGAGGACCGGCTGTATCGTTTGTGTGCATCATGAATAAGTAAAAAGGAAGAAAGAATGACCCCGAATGTATATGACAGCTAGTTATTCCACAGCTGCGAACCCCCAAACCGAACAAGTACAGAAAACAAAAAAGATGGCCTAGCCAAGACTGCCTGAAAACAGTAGTCGTCACGTCTAATTAATGCCTTCAAGGGACCACTCGCCCTTTTGGGAACGCTCGAGAACCTGGCGGCCCTTATCCGTCAGCTCGGGCTGGCCCTCGTTGCCAGTGGCGTGAGTAAAGTAGACGGGGGTGTAGACGGCGCCGGTGCGCTCACGCTCGCGGGCCTTGACGCGCTGGGCCTCCTCGAGCTCTTGCTTGATGGTGGTGGCCTTGGAGAATTGCTTGGCGTGGATGGCCTTTGTAACGTTGCCCCAGAGGGTGAGGGACTCGTTGGGGGCCTGCTGGTCTTCGGGCGGGAGTATCTTGGGAGCGACCTGTAGAGGAGCCGTGTCGATGATGGTGTACTGCTGCTCGGCAGGGACCTGCTTCTGAAGGGTGTGTTAGCAGGCTGCAGCTCGATCTATTTAGCTAATCAGGACGGAGACATACCACGGGTGTCGAACCAAGAGTAAAGACGACCTTTTCTCTCCAGGGTCCGCTAAGTCGGGCGAGAATATCCTCCTCGGGCACGTCCTGGATGCGGGTTTTGTCGTCGTTTTCGGGGTCGTAGCGGAAGACAACGCCGTCGACCTTGTTGGTGGTGCGGCCGAGCCAGCCCTCCTCGACGTAGCTGAGGATGGCCTTGATCTTGGTCTTGGGACAGGTGATGTAGGCCGTGTCGCTGACGGAGACGGTGAGAGCACCGCGAAGGAGGCCACCGAGGTGGGCGGCTGGGTGCGTAAGCTGGTACTTTTCGCCGTCGCGCTGATCGAGGGTGATGAAGATGCCGAGGTTGTGCTCGCCCGGTAGCACCTTGATCGAGGTGCCGGTAAATTTGGCCGTGATCTGATCGAAGCCGCGGGCGCTCAGGCCGCGCTCGGGGCAGCTGATGTGAAATGCGGACACGGGCGGGTGGTGCGACGTCTGCTCCGTTAGGTAGGAGACGGTGACGGGACGCGTGTCGTTGGAGGTACCGTGCTGGGGCGGCGAGAGGACGGGCGCCGTGGCGTTCTTGTTGCTCTTGACGCTGGACTTGCTCGAGGCAGAGCTCTCGCTGCCGAGATTGCTGGTGACGATCTTGGGCGCATTATTTTCCGTCTCCCAGTTGCACTATGGAACATGAGATTAGTACATGTGCGCTGTGGGAATGTACAGATCATCAGCAGCATGCAGCTAAGGATAACCCACTCTGAAGAACTCGCCCAGGCATGAATTGTAGGGCTTGCAGGGCTTTCCCTTGGCATATTTAAGATCCTTGGTCAGCCAGAAGCGGACGACCTCGAGCATGCGATCGAGAGGTTCGTCCGAGGTGCCGATGGCAACAAAGGCATTTGGAGCGTCGAGATATGTCCAGTATTCGAGATTGGGCGTGGGTTCGAGAAGCTGCGAGGGCAGGGAGAATCGGACGGTTGCGAGATCAGAAACGCCAATGAACCTATCACGGGGCAATTCCAAGCCCTAGTCAGCAAGTCTGCAGCCTGGTTGTGGACTTGTGCGTGGGTAGCTATGAGAGTCGGAAGTGCAGGCACACCGCCCACTTGTTGAGGGTCGCATATTATGTTGAGACGGGCGGCGGCAACAGCGAAACACCAGATCAAGAACCAGCAGAAGGCAAAAGGGAAACAAGAGGGGGAAGAACTGACTTGCGCAGGATGCCGAGAAAGGTGCGCAGCTTGGAGCCATCGCTCTGGTTTTCGTCGGGTGTGTCGACGGTCGCAGGCGGCGCCGATGACGAAAGTGTTTCCGTCTGCATCATGTCGGCGCCTTCTTGGTAGCGCAACTGGCGTGGAGATGGGGGTGGTGAGCAAGCGTCGGGGTATCGGTATTCGGTAGCGATGCGGGTGGTGAGGAATTGCACGAGTGCGAGACGCAGAGACACGATATGAGCAAAGATGGGATATCGGAAAAAGAAAAAAAAAGTTGAAAGGAATATAAAACGGTGCAGTGAAAAGAGGAGTTGGTAAGAGTTTCTAGTTGATGCCACCGAGGCTTGGACCTGGGCGGCGTGACGTTGTGGCGGGGCAGAATAAAAAAAGACTGCCACGAAAAAAGGTCGTTCCCTGGTCCTCTAGCGCTGGAGAGGTACCTGAAGTGACCGAGGTGCCTTTTGTGCACTGTAACTTGGTACCTTTTAGCAACTGAACAATTTTAGATATGTTTTAGGTACTGCAAGCCACCAGAGCAAAAGTAACCATAACGTGGCGTAGCCTTTGCTCTTCTTGATCACTAACTAATGCAACACTGTCTTTCATCTTTCATCTTTCCACCGTCCGACTCGGCATTCTGCCTTTAATCTCGACATGGACGCCTTTGTAAATATATCCCGCCGTTTCCGCACTGAAACCACTACTGTCGAGAGGCGAGGCACCTAACTGGGGTACAAACGGGGCATACGAGCGCGAGAGGAGCCGCGATGACACTCTATATGTAATACAAGAGATAAAAGGGCTGCTCCTCCCAAAATAGGGGGCCACTGGGCGCCAGGAAGGTGCAGTAATACGCAAGCCCGGCAATACCCACGGCCATTTAGTCTTGCTCGCCGTTTCCCGCCTCGATACCTTGCCGCCTTGCCACTATCCTTGACCAAACAGCAGCCGTCTACCAATCCTATCCCCCGATGCCACCATATGCGCTGCTTTACTGGCCCCCAGAGCCGCGCTAAGCCCGCCATCTTCCAGTTCACGGGCAAGACGGGGCTCCGCCTAGTTTTGACTCGACAGCAACTCCATGCAGCCCGCCGGCACCCGACTCAACCAATCGCTGGGCCACATGGGTCCAGCCATGGGCAGTTCCGATCCGACGATGGTTCGCCGCTAATAATGGCATCTCAACCCTGCTTGAATGCAAAGGCGAACAACAATTCTCAAAACGAAACAGGCAACATGTTTCGGCAAGACGGTAAATCTTGTGACCCTGCTCGGCTTTCTGTGAATGATCGATACACTGCACTGACGCAGCGTGGCACATGGCCTCTCTCGGTCTGCGCTATGTGGCAATGTTACTACCAGTAGAAATTGGGCTTTGCATTTCAGCCGCTCCCGAGCCATCCATCACTTTTCCTTCAAGATGTGCAACGAATAAAGTTGCGCCACCTCTAGATCTATAGCGGCCGTGCGGCCTCATCCACGCTCCACTCCTGGGCCCTTGCAGATGACAGGCCTATTACCACGCCTACAACGTAGATCCAAGCACGACATACGCGGCAAGCTTCTACAGACACATCCATTTACGCTATACATGAAATCAACGTATTCCGAATGTCTCATACAAGTGTTGTAACTGCATGATTCCGCAGCAGTAGCTGTAATGTAGGCCGACTAACCGACGTGCCGATCTTGAAGGTTTAACAGCTATTCTCGTCATAGGGCCTTTTTGGCCGTCGGCAACATCCGCCAAAGGCTTTCGTGTCTAGTACAAATTGCGTAGAATCACTTTAAAGATTTATGAAGAACAGTTTTCATATATCTTGCTATGAATCTGTGCATCGGTACGTTTATCCGTCGTAACACCAGACAGCGGATCCTGGACAAGACGGGTGGGCGACTGCACCAAATGCTGCTACTGAGACTACATCAAAGATGAAAAACAACAAAGAAGAGAAAAAGACATGAAAATTCTCAGTTTCAAGCCTGTGACTTGATCTTTGCATTTTCGACCTAAATATCTCTAGGGAGGCTTACCTATGTACCTTGTGTTGTGTCGGGAGGCACATCGAGTGTCCTTATCTTATCGCGCCTGGCGGCAGAAAAGAAAAAAAGTTGGCGAACAAACTCGGTCCTCACCACCCCACCAGCCAGCCTCTGAGAAGCAACAAAATACAGCCACTATGCCCAAGCCGCGCACAAAAAGAGGCTCCGGCCGCGAGGCGCGCAAGCGAAAGCACGACGGGGAAGAAAATATTGGCTGGACCATTGACACGAAGCGACCGCGCGTTGACGACGACAATCACCACGCCGACAAGCATCAGGCCGACAAGCACAAGGCCAGCAAGCACCACGTTGACAATGACCACGCCGAGAAAGGCTACTACCAAGATGAAGTGCCAGAACCAGCCGGCGACGATGAAGGGTTTGCGGACCACGAGGAGGGACCGGCCGAAAAGGAGTTTTTTGGCATGCTCACCGACGAGGAGCAAGAGTATTTTCGGCGCGCCGACGAGATGCTCGAGCTCAATGAGTTCCCGACACCCGAAGACCGCACCCTGTTCCTCGAGAGCGTCTACGAAGAGGCCAAGGGCAAGGAGCTCAAGGTGGCCAGCAGCCAGTCGTGCTCGCGGTTGATGGAGCGCCTGATTCAGCTGGCGAGCACGGCGCAGAAGAAGCGGCTGTTTGAGGCGTTTGCGGGCCACTTTCTCTCGCTCGTGCAGCACCGCTTCGCGAGCCACTGCTGCGAGGCCCTGTTTCTGCGGTCCGCCGGCGTCGTCTCCCAGGAACTGTCGGGCTTTGTACCCGACACGGCGCGCGGGGACGGGGACGAAGGCGGCGAGGATCAGGAGCCGGAGAGTTCGATGGAGAGTCTGTTTCTCGCGACGCTGGACGAGCTGGAAGGAAGCATGGGCTTCCTGATAACGGACCGCTTCGCATCGCATACACTACGCGTGCTGCTGGTGGTGCTGTCGGGGCGGCCGCTCGAGGACGTGGCGGTCAAGACGCTCATCAAGAGCAAGAAGAAGGAAAAGGTGTCGGTGGCTGGCTCCGCGGCCGTCGACGAGCAGAACCAGGGCCTGCGCGCGGTGCCCGAGTCATTTACCGCCGCCGTCACCAAAATCATTCGCGATTCGACGTCGACTATGGACGCCACCAGCCTGCGCGTCCTAGCCACCCATCCCATCGGCAATCCGACGCTGCAGCTGTTCCTGGAGCTCGACCTCTCATTGAACAAGTCGGAGCAAAAGGCCGACGCCGAGCAGCCGACGCTGCTCTTTCAGCTGCTGCCTGGTGCGCCGCAGTCCCTGTACGAAGAGTCGTCCGAGGCCGCCGAATTTATCAACGGCATGATTTACGATCCCATTGGCTCGCGCCTCGTCGAGACCATCATCACGCACGCGCCCGGCAAAATCTTCAAGGCGCTCAACCAAAACATCTTTCTGCCGCGGATCCAGGGCTACGTGCGCAACGACGTTTCGTGCTACCCAGCTATCAAAGTGCTCAACCGCATCGGCAAGGACCAGCTCGTCGAGGCGGTTGAGAAAATCGGACCTACGGTACCGCAGCTCGTTACCAAGCGCCGCTACAATGTCCTCCGCACGCTGTTTGAGCGCTGCGCGGCCCGCGGCCTGACTGAGGAGATTAAGCAGCTGATGAAGGGCCTCCGCGAGGGCTGCGGCCCGCAACCCGCGGACCTCGTCACGACGCTCTGCGCACTCACCTCTGAAGAAGACGTCAAGAAGAAAAAAGATGCGCTTCAATTGAGCAAAAACGAGTACGCCATTCAGTCGCACGGCGCGCAGCTCCTCACCACGCTGCTCGCCACACCCGGCCCCGCCAAGGGCGTGCAGGAAGCGCTCTCGGCTCTTCCTCCCGACCTCCTCGTGCGCCTCGCCACGACGTCGTTTCCTACCGCGACGCTGGTCAGCACCGCGCTCAAGACGCCCTCTGCGAATGCGCTGTTTCAAAAGTCCACTGTGCACGCGCTGGCGCCGCACGTCGTCGACCTGGCCGTCTCGCAAAACGGACACAACGTCGTCGTCGCGCTGGCCGAGATGCCGACCCGCGGCCGCGACTACAGCGTGCCGGCGCACATCAAGGAGGGCATCATGCAGACGCTGAGCGGGAGCGAGGCGGCGCTGCGCGAGGGCTGGACGGGGCGCAGCGTGTGGCGCGCGTGGAAGGGCGACTTGTGGAAGACGAGGCGGCATGACTGGAAGGCGTGGATCAAGGACATGGTGGCGGAGGAGTCGCAGCAAGTGACGTCGGTGCATAAAAAGGGTGCTGTAGGGGGGAGGAAGAGGGAGAACTAATGTATATACAATGTGGTCTTGAGGAGCAAAGTCTTTTTGCAACGGCTGGGGTTTCTGCATCAATAGTGTCTCAAAAGCAATGTCCTTGACAACTGGTTAGGAGTTTGAATCAAAATTCTTTCAATAACGATGTATCAACAGTTGATCAAAAGCAAAGCTATTCACGGCGGCTTAAAGGTAATCGAATATTCTCCATGTATCATATATTCGATGCATAGTCTATAAAGGATAACTTACATGTCTTTCATGCACAATAGTCTATCAGAAACCAAGTTCCATCAACATCATCTACAGCTTTGCGCCCGACACCTTCACGCTCTTCTTGTACTCATCCCTCAAAATCCTGCGCAAAATCTTGCCGCTTGGACTCTTTGGAATCGCCTCGACGACACGCACCCCCGCAAGCCACTTGTCCCGCGCGCGCGCGTCCTTGACGTGCTGCACCAGCCGCTCCATCACCTCCTCCGCAGACACTCCTCTACCCCCATCTGGGCGCAGCACGACAAACGCAAAGGGCCGCTCGCCGGCGTAGTCGTCGGGGACGCCCACGACGGCGGCGTCGGCGACGCAAGGGTGGCCGAGCAGCAGGTCCTCGAGCTCGGCGGGGGCGACTTGCGCGCCCTTGACTTTAATCATCTCCTTGATGCGGTCGTGGATGGTGAGCTGGCCGTCGGGAGCGACGGAGCCCTCGTCGCCGGTGCGCAGGAAGCCGTCCGGGTCAAAGGCGGCGGCGGTGGCGGCGGGGTTGTCAAAGTAGCCCGGGGTGATTTGGGGGCCCTTGACTCGGATCTGTGTTTTCGTGTGTGTTGTTAGTGTCAGCGCTTTCTATACCGCGGCAAACATCATTTCTGGCAAACAGAAAAAAAAAAAACAAAAAGAAAAAAAAAGACAAAACAGTTGGGTGGGAATGACATTTACCTCTCCGCGCTCACCAACCCCAACCGCCACGCCGTCCTCATTCACCACTTTCATCACCGTCCCCGCCACCAGCGTGCCGACCGACCGACCGTGCTCAAAGCCATACAGGTGCGGCGGGTGCGTCGTCACGCACGCCGTCGTCTCCGTCATGCCGTACCCCTGCTTGAATCCGGTGGTGCCCGGGAAGCGGCGCGCCAGTTGCGCCAGCACCTCGGGGCTGACGGGCGCGGCGCCCGTGGCCCAGCGCTCGACGCAGCCGAGGTCGTAGTCGTCGACGGTCGGGTCGTGCGCGAGGCGGATGAGGATGGGCGGGACGAGGTTGACCTCGGCGATGCGGTGGGTGCTGATGGCGGAGAGCAGCGCGGGCATGGTGAAGCGCGGGACGACGGCGACGGAGGTGTTGCTGACGAGGCAGTGGACGAGCGAGCGGACGAGGCCGGAGACTAGAAGGGGGGGGAAAGGGAAAAGTTGTTAGCGATAGGCAATGTTGCTGGCAAGGAGGCAGGGAAAAGGGGGGTTGTACTGTGGTAGAATGGAAGCAGACCGAGAGCTATGCCGCTGTGGATGTAGGCAAGGTTGAGCTGGAGACACTGCGCAATAATGTTGGCGTGAGAGATGATGACCTGCAAATCCGTCAGAAACAACCTCTTCTCTACTCGACCCTCAAGAACCAACAACTCACAGCTTTCGGCAACCCTGTCGTTCCGCTACTAAAGCACAAGAAAGCCGTCGTCTCCGCGCTCGTCTTTCCGCTCGGCAAACCCACCGCCCTCATCCCCTCCTCCTCCTCCTCCTCCATCACCCTCTTTCCCTCCTCCACCAGCTCACTCAATCCGGTGCACCACCGCCCCCCTTCCTCCTCCTCCTCCTCCTCTTCCTCCTCATCCGCAAACCAAAACACCCTCTCCTCCGGCACACCCTCCTTCCTCGCCGCCTCCCTCACAACTTTCAGCGTCTCTCCCGGGGCGCACATGACGAACCGCGCGCGCGCCGTCCTCAGCGCATGCCTTATCTCCGTCTCCGTCGCCCCCGGCGCCGACACGGCCGGCACGCCGCCAGCGCGCATCACGCCGTGGAAGCAGACGGGGTAGGTGACGGCATTGGGCGAGATGATGGCGACAACGTCGCCAGGGTGCAGGCCGCGGCGGGGGTGGGCGAGCGCGGCGGAGAGCGCGGCGGCGGCGTCACGGACTTGAGCGTGCGTGAGGCGCGCGTTGTTGTTGTTGCTGCTCGTGGTGTTGATGTATTCGCGCGTGGGGAGACTGTCGCCGCGGGAGGAGGAGCAGCCGGCGGCTGGGGAAGGCGCGTCAAAAAGCCATTGCCAGAGAGTGAGGTCGGTAGGGACTGCGCGCGTGGGGGGGTGGTTGTTGTTGATGTTAATTGGTGATTACGCGGGAGAGGGGGAGAGGTTGGGGTTGGCTTAGTGACGGACCGTGGATGTCGGGGTAGCTGGATTTAAACAACATGGCTGCTTGCGATGGCGTTATAGAGTTCGATTGGACCTGAAAAGTTAAAAAAAAAAAAGAAAGAAAGAGAGAAAGAAAGAAAGACGCCGTCTACGTAGAAGGAATGGAATCGAAGCGCGGGATAAGGTTTTACATATATACAAAACGAAAAAAAAAAAAGAGGCACGCGAACGGATATAATCGCGGGCATCGGAACGGCTTTTTTTACCCCGCGGTGTCCGGCCCCACCGCATCGGCGCAGCCTGGCAGCCATTCCTTGCCTTGGCCATGTATCCATGCACTGGAAATCCTGGGGTAGCATCGGCACTTTGTTTCCGTGCCGAGGTTCGATAAGCAGAGCCTCGCAGGGTTGACCCTGCCTGCCATTGAACGCAGATAAGCAGATAAAGAATATGACCAAACTCCATGGACTTTGGTTTAAAAAAAACGGGCCGGATATCGAACTTGTAATAGTAAAAGATTGGCCATTAGTTGCGCCAATACAAGTTGATTTATTGGTGGGATTGGAGCTGCCAGCGCAACACGCACAAAGTCTAATACGAGATATAGACAAGGGCGCGACGGACATTTCAAACAAGACATTCATCTAATCCGTATCCAAGTGGGAACTAGGAACACAAGCCCTTTGAGGGTCGGCGCTTTAAAAGGCCATGGGGCGCGCGGACCTGCCATGCGCGGGCCTTGACTTTGTAGCACCGGCTTCCACCTTGTTGCAGCATTTCGCGCCATCTTGAACTACCAAACTAGTGAGTTAGTTGTGTTGGTCTTGGTTCAGGCAAGTCGCTTTGCTTGATCCCGTGTCCCCCTCCCTCTTGTATGCCATTCTCACCAACGGCGGCGGCCAAACCGTCTCTACTTAGAGCCGCCTTGTACTACCTTTTCAACGCCGTCCCGCGTCACACACCACAAAAAAAGAGCCTAGGCTTCAACCAATCAAAACAAACAAAAAACAATGGGATTCTATCTTCTAAAAGGCTTCTTTTTACTTCTCGTGCTTTCCGCCCCCAGCCATGTTTCATTGTGTTTCTTCGCCCGTTCCGCCCCCTCTTCCCCCTCCCCCAATAATGATTCATTCCAACTTATTCTTGGGTTTATCAAGTCGTACCGCTATCCCGTAGAAATATACTCATCTTAGCACGGAGCATGTACAGAGTACGTAGCATTGCCCAATGCATGTCTCATCTCATCTCTTCTTCTTCTTCTTCTTCTCGTGCGAGGGTTACATAAACAAAAGTTGCGCAAAACTCTCCGTCGTGTCTTCCTCCTTTGTTCCCCCTTGTCTTCTTTTTTCCTTTCCTATTCTTATTTTCATCTAATTTTGCCGTGCAGCGGCGCACAACACTATGCCAGAGAATTTATTTAGGCGTTCGTACGACGGGCAAACGCGTTATTACCACAGTTCAATCGAATCCGTTCAAGAAGAGTGTTGCAACATGTATCCATTTAAAACAACAGCCCCTGTATCTCTCTCTTTTCCTTTTTTTTTTTTCTTTTTTTTTTTTTTTTTTTGCATCTATTTCCTG